GTCCTGGCTCTGCCTGGTGTTTTTCTGTGTTTCAGGCTTTGCAGAGGCCCTAGGACTGGCTTTGGCTGGTCTGTAAGACCTCACTGACTTGTTCTGGGTGTTTTCCCCAGTCCCTTATCGAGGGTAAACTTTTGCTGTTGTCAGTTCTATCTGGCCTGATGGAAATACTAACCATTGGCCACATTCTCTTCTTATTGAGCCTTGGGCCGTGTCCATATTCCTTCTCCTTTACTGCTCAGGTGATTTAAGTCAGTTGGGATTTGCACTGCAAGTGGAATTGCACTGGGATTGCAAAACTTTGAAGGGAATCTGATTAAATGCAGGTATCTACAGTGCAGGTGCCTGGGCTCTGGAGGGAGGAGGAGGCACTTGTAAGGCGTTTTTCCCTTAGTAGTGCTCAAAATAGGACAGTTGAACTGTGCCCTAGAAGTGCATTTTCCTCCGCACTGGCTGTGAAGAGCCCAGGCTGACTAATTACCTGGTAGGCAGCTATTCCACTGACACCCAACATTAGGTAAATCTAACCCAACATGAGTCCCCAGACTAGGTGCACAGAGTAAGGCTGTTCTCCAGGCACCATTTGAAATGACTGAGACTAAATTTCTCTTTTTGTATACGTGGGACTTTGACGCCACGTTTAAAAGAATTCTCTCAGGTGAGATCTTCCCTGCAAACTGCTGGATGCAGTGGTTGTGGTGCTGCTGTCAAATTAAATTTTCCTGTGTCCTAGAGGCATCCTCCCATCGTGAACAGTGTCTGGCTGCTCACAGATAACACACACCAGCTCTCTTCTGTTTGAGCTTGCTTTGGAATGCATTGATTTAACAGAGGTGTTTTGTGATAATGAAGTGAAAGGAAGTATTTTCATTTATGCACTGCTCAGAGTAGCCAGGCTGCTCTGCAAGCAGGCAGGAAGGAGCAGACCTCCTCCAGGGAGCATCCAGCTCACCTCAGCCAGCCTCAAGCAACAGGGGCACGCCAGGATTTTGTTATTTTTCTTACAGGCTTTTTTGTTTTGTTTTGTAAATCATGTGGGGTTAAGAGGGAAAGGAATCCTCCCTTCTGCCCCGAGGATAACAACCAGTGTTTCTCCTCTGTCCTCCAGCTTTGCTCCTTACTCCTACCTGTTGTGATACAGACTGGAATGACCTGAAGTACCAGGAGAAGGCGTAGCGTGGAAGGGGGAGCATTTGGCAGTCATTATATCAGCTTTTACAGATGCTGTCTGGGGGGCTCTTGTTGCCCTGAAACGTGGGGAGGGGAGCACTGCAGTAACATGGCTGTGCTTGGTGGTCCAGGAGGGTTCCTGCAGTGCCGCAGCCACACAGGCTGCCCTTCCCTTCGGGGCAGGGAGCTGCTCTGTCTGATGTGAGGAAAAGCAAGGAGCTCCCATCCAGCTTTGTTCCTGGCAGGCTCAGTAACAGCACTGTTAACGGGGGAATCCAGTGGGACATGAATGCATCAAACAGCTTTGTGGGCTATGTAACTTGTTACTGTAATTCCTTCGATGTAACAATACAAAGTTAAATGATTTATCCTGTACCTGTTAAAAATTTTTCCATGTGAGGGTGGGGAGGCCCTGGCACAGGTTGCCCAGAGAAGCTGTGGCTGCTCCTGGATCCCTGGAAATGTCCAAGGCCGGGTTGGAGGGGGCTTGGAGTAACCTGGGATAGTGGAAGGTGTCCCTGCCCGTGGCAGGGGTTGGAACAAGATGAGCTTTAAGGTCCCTTCCCACCCAAACCTTTCTGTGAAAGCCTTTGAGGCCTTCAGCTGTTAAATATAACTTCTTTAACATTTTGTACTTTCTCCTTCATTCATTCTCTAGGTTGATTTTGGACGGGGCTCCTCTTATAGCAATTCATAAAGCCAGGTATTTCAAGAAGAAAGATGGGCTGTCTCTGGGACCTGGGCCTTTTGTGACAGGGCTGGAATACGCGACGGACACCAAAGCGACGGTGGTGGGGAAGCCAGAGAAAACCTTCTTCCTGGAAGCCCTGAGGGGGACTGGCTGTGCCCCAGAGGAGGCCGTCATGATTGGAGATGTACGTGGGGACCAACACCCTCATCACCTGCCCGCTGACACAGTGCTCATCTCCGCTGGGAGCACTGCTTGCAAAGGGATGGTTCTGCCCTTTGGAATCACCCCTTTGTGTGTGCAGGGAAGGGAGCAGAGCTGGGGAAGGGTCTGGAGCAGCTGAGGGAGCTGGGGAGGCTCATCCTGGAGAGAAGGAGCCTCAGGGGGACCTTCTGGCTCTGCAACTCCCTGACAGGAGGGGGGAGCCAGGGGCGGGTGTTGGGCTCTGCTTCCAGGGAACGAGGGACAGGATGAGGCAAAATGGCCTCAGGCTGTGTCAGGGGACGTTTAGATTGGATATTGGGAAAATTTTCCTCATGGAAAGGGTTGTCCAGCCCTGGCACAGCTGTCCAGGACAGTGGTGGAGTCCCCATCCCTGGAGGGATTTAAAAGCTGAGTGATGTGGCACCTGGGGACACGGGTCAGTGCTGGCCTTGGCAGTGTGGGGGGAATGGTTGGACTTGACGATCTTTGAGGTCATTCCCAGCCTAAACATCTCCATGAAAACTCACAGGATTTAGTGGGTAATACCTGGGGTGGGTTCTCTTACTTCACTCACTCTTTGGCGGGGCAAAAAGCACTCAGCAAACCACTCCTGTGACAGTTCCACTGACAGGCAGCTGAAAGATTTCGATTCCATGTCGCTGCTTTTAAGTGATGTGCAAAGCAGAAATGGTTCTGGCAGTGTCCATGCCCACCAACCAGTTGCTCTCTGTTCTGCCCCAGGACTGCAGGGATGATGTTGGTGGTGCCCAGGACGCGGGCATGCGTGGGATTTTGGTGAGGACAGGTAAGGAGTCCACGGATCGGTCATTTCAGGAGTTGGTGGTGCTTTCAGTCATCTCACTCTGGGTACTGGCAACCCCTGGGCCCAGAGTGAAGGCACAGAGAGCCCTGGGGCCAGCCCTGGTGCTTTGTAACAGCCCACCTAGGAATTACAGTGGTCATTATAAGCATAATTGTTGCTTTGGGTAAAAGAGGAACCTGAAGGGACTGACAATGTTGCTGATGGTACCGTGGACTGGGTGAGGCCTTTTTGAGGTGGCAGCTCCTTGTGCGACACTGTTATGTTGAACATGAAAGGAAGTAATCCTGCTGTTCCTTGGAAGAGTCTTCAGAGAGGCACTTATCATCAGGAACTGTGGTGATAGAACAAGGAGTAACAGGTTCAGATTGAAAAAGATGAAATTCAGGTTAGAGATATGAGGAGGAAGTTCTTGGCTGTGAGGGTGGGCAGGCCCTGGCAGCCCAGAGAAGCTGTGGCTGCCCCTGGATCCCTGGAAGTGTCCAAGGCCAGGCTGGACAGGGCTTGGAGCAACCTGGGATAGTGGAAAGTGTCCCTGCCCATGGCAGGGGGTGGAACAAGACGAGCGTTGAGGTCCCTTCCAACCCAAACCATTCCAGGGTTCTGTGATTCTATAAAAGTGAAAATAACATTAATATTTCAAGAACCTTCAACATGGAGCTATGAACAGTCAGTGAGAGAACAGTGCCAGTACTGCATTGTGAACCAGTGCATAGGTAACAGTAATTTAGAGCCAGAGCTGCCCCTGCAGGAATCTTCAGTGTATGTTAGGGAAGCCTTGTGGGAAGTTTGTTGCAGGAGAACCCCAGATGGGCATTCCTCCTACCTGGTTGGTGTTGATTTGAGGAGGCTCTAATTTTCAGGGCGACAAAAAAAAAAAAAAAAAAAAACAACTCAGAGGAACTTGGTAAATGGATCTTTTTGTTAATCTGTTACAGGTAAATATCGACCAGCAGATGAAGACAAAATCAACCCGGCTCCCTACTTAACCTGTGAGAGCTTCCCAGAGGCAGTGGAACACATCCTGAAGAGTATGCTGTGAGACACGGAGCAGTTGGTTTGGAGAACCATCTGCTTCATGTAATTTCCTTCATTTTTGCTTCAAAAATTAAGGTCCCAAGATCAGTCGATGCATGTGTGGCATCAGAAACCAGCCCGTGGTGTGAGGGGCAGAGGGTCCCCGTGGGCCCAGCACAGTCACTGCACACAGGGAGTGAGGCTGAGTTCTGCTCATCTTCAGTTTTCAGGAAACACCTGATGAAAAGCCCTGCCTGGAAAGTGTCACCTATTCTGAAAGCATGCACTGAAAATACCAACAGTAACAGAGCCTTAGTTGGCCTGTAGTGATTTCACTGAGCTCTTACTTAAAGGTAGAGATTGTGCACATTTAGAAGTGACTTTTAAATTAAAATACCACTATTGCTTAATAATAACTGCTGTGGCTGTCTTTGCTCTCATTACAGCAGATCCTGTTCTTTGTTTTTCAAATTTTACATAAAATTAAAAACTGTCAGCATTTTACAGATGTTTTAATTAGATGCTGTTATTAAAAAGAATGATACAGAAACAAAACTCTGGTATTAAATGCCTTAGAGACTGTGACTTTTTAAAATTAGGCTTCAGCAGGGTCCTATTAGTGCTACAGTTGCAAAATTTCTTTGTTGTTGGGGATTTTTTTGTTTCTTTTTCATGCTATGGGAAAAATCCTTCACGAGCCATGGGGACACATTCCAGTTTTTACAGTTGGTTAGCAGAGCTGTAAAATGAAATTTAATTCTGTATCATGCAATGCTTTTCCTATGTTCTACATCCCCCAATATGAACCAACTTTGTAATGATGGTAAATGGCTTTTCTGGTCTATTTGCAAACTCTAATAATCAAAGTCCTTTACAGTTGTTTTACAGTGCTCCTGAGTGTTAAATTATTAGATTGTAATTATGCATTACTGGAGTATTAACCTTATTGAAAATACAGTTTTGTGTTAATGAGCCATGCTCGTTCCTGTTAAACAAAATCATCGTGATGAATGAATTTCCTGACATGTGACAGCGTCTCTCTGCAGCCTCACTTGGTGGGTGGTTACTACATTCAGATTTAATCTCTGTCACAGACAGAACGTGTGGATGGATTTTGCAGATTTTGCAGTACAAACCCAGAATCATTTAGGTTTGAAAAGCCCTTTAAGATCATCGAGTTCATCCATTCCCCCAGCACTGCCAAGGTCACCACTAACCAGGTACCCAGGTGCCACATCCACAGGGTTTTAAATCCCTCCAGGGAGGGGGACTCCAACACTGCCCTGGGCAGCCTGTGCAGAGCAGGACAGCCCTTTCAGTGAAGAAATTATTCCAAATATCCAACCTGAACCTCCTCTGGCACAACTTGAGGCTGTTTCTCCTGGTTTCACTTGCTACCTGGGAGCAGAGACCCCTCAGGAACAGAAGCCAGAGTCAGGTTCAGGAGGTGGGAGAGCTATAAGCCAAATGCTGTGAAGACATTTCCCATGGAGACTCCTGACGTGAGTGATGCTGGAACTAAGAGGGACTGTCAGTGCCTCAGAGGTCCTGGGACGTGCTGGAAAGCATGCACAGCCCTGGCACTCGGAATGCAGATGCACACAAGCCCAAGGAAAACACTGGGAGAACTGCAAAGACGGGAAGTGTCTTGCCGGGGAAGGAGGAGGGTAAGAGAAGGGCAGCAATGAGATCTGAAAGAGTGACTTGTTAGAACTGGTGGTGCAAAGAGGTGGCAGTGCTGACTGCTCATCTGGCTGTGTGTGCAGGAACAGTCTCCAGCATGTCTGGTATTTAACACTGCACTGCAAAGACACTGCAAAACTCCACTGGGTCCAGCGGAGGGTGACACAGGTGATGGACTGGAGCATCTCTGTGAGGAGGAAAGGCTGAGGAAGATGGGGCTGTTCAGCCTCGCTGATGTCTGTCAGTGTCTGCAGAGAGGGGTCAGAGCATGGACCAGGCTCTGCTCGGGGGTGCCCAGCAATGGGACAAGAGGAAGAGGCACAAACTGATGCCTGGGAAATTCCATCTGAACGTGAGGAAGAACTTCCTTGCTGTGCAGTGACTGAGCACTGAAGAGGTGTGGAGTCTCCCTCACTGGTTGATATCCCAGAAAATCTGGGCACAATCCTGTGCCATGTGCTCTGGGATGGCCCTGCTGGAACAAGGAGGTGGGACCAGGTGACCCACTGTGGTCCCTTCCAACCTGAGCCACTTGGGATTCTGTGATTCTGTTTTATGGCTGGATGTGAACCAGTGGGTAACCACCAATAAAGTTTCTGGTTAATTAGCCTAAACATGCTGATTTTCTACACTCTCCCTCTTAATTCCTTGCCTTTTCCACCTTGGAAATACTCCAAACCAACAGGAAAGTAACACACTTGGCACATCAAGGCTTTGAACTCAGCTCATCATTGAAATGATGACAAACTAACCTCAACTACAAAGCGTTGCTAAGGTCCTGAATTTCACTGAAAACCCCTGTTTCATGTCTCATTAAGAAACATGCAGGTCTCTGCTGGTACAGCTACACTGACTGTGATGCTCTAGTGGGTCTTGGGAATGGAGAATTACACTGATTGTCTAACCTTTCTTAAGCCTTCTGCTCCAGTTCTACCTCAAACCTATATGCAGCTGTCATGAATAAAGACTGAGAAGCAATCAATCTTTTAAATCTTTATGCATAAAATTAAGGCTGGAGGCCTTGTTGCATAGGAGCTGCCATCACATTATTTCCATGAAGAATGTTTTTTGAATGGTCATTAAAATGGTTAATAAAGAATAACCACCACTCTCCCACCCACCCTTAAATTTTGGAAGTAAAGATTTCCCTCTGACACTTGTCACTGCTTTCTCTTCCCTGAGATATCAGCATTTCCCTCCCCATCACCACCTGATCCTTTGGAGCAAGGACATGCCACTTTGGAAGTCTTGGAAGTTTCTTGGTGTTTTCTGTCAGACTGACTCAAATTCCCTCTGCCAAGCCATGTACTTCCTGCTTAGGTTCTTTGCTGATGGCTTGGTGTGGGTGATCACATCCAGGAAATCAGCTGTTGTGATCGTGTCCAGCTGGATCACGGGCAGCTTACTGTTACCTAAAGAGAAGAGAATTGAATAAATACTGTTATGGTTACCAAAAGACATTCTTTTATGTCCCTGCCTAAAGCAACACTTAATATAGGGAAACAACAGAATAAATGTAGTGAGATTAAAAAAAATTGTATTTATGCAGAAAGCACACATACTGACAGATTTAAAAGAAGGCCTGATTTTCAGAAATTTGGATGTTTTAGACCTGTAGAGTTTAGAACTTTTCCAGGCAGATATCAGAGCTCCACCTGCTGGGGTTAACATGATCGTTCCTAGAGTTACAGCAGGAGATCAGCATTTGCCAGTTCACATTCCCTGCTCACAGCTGAGGTACCTGGCTGGTGATTTTCAAGAGCATCAAATATTTTCCTCACTGGTCTCATGGCTGCTTCCTTGCACACGAGTTTTATGTCTGAGCCAGAGTATCCATCTGTTTCCTGTGATGGGATCAGAATGATGCATTACAGCTCACAAATTGGACAGGAATGGCATTTACAGGCATATATATTGTCTGTGTATTTACAGAAAATCTTTGTGAAGTCTATTGTTGTCTGAAATATCTGTTTGTATATGTATACTCACAGACACACACACACCCCTATCTATTTTTATAATTTCTTCTTGAAATTATGCTGCTTGTTCTTCTTTTGAATGCCCACAATACCTTGTAGGAGCAAGGAAAACACTGGGAATTTTCTCTTTAAACTGCAATTTTCTGTAGGTCAAATAAACCCCACCTTTCTGTGTTCATCCCCCATCTTTCCTGTTAACAAAATAACTGTATTTCCTTATTAGGACTTATAAACCCAAAACTGAGCAGTGTTTCTCCGTGAACAGATGTAAAACGAGTCAACTGGGTAAACTGTAAAATATTTAGGCATTGAGTCCTTGAGCAAACTTGTCTAGTGAGTGGCATCTCTGCCCATGGCAGGGAGTTGGAACTGGATGATCTTTAAGGTCCCTTTCAACCTAAAGCATTCTAGGATTCTGTGGTTCTGTGTCCGAAGAATTCAGGAAGTGACAAAGGGCTAAATGAAGAGAGCCTGGGTATCCAGTGAATCTTTTCACTGTCGAATGCTCTTTTCTCCCACAGCAGTGGAGTGGTGACAAACCTTCCCTACACAATTAACTGTTCATTACCCCGATGAATTGGAAGTGCTCCCAGCTTGGTGAGAACAGCAATAAAATGTGCTGTTGCTGGAAGTGTCCCTGTATTTAAGGCTGAAGAGTTGGCCCAACAGAGAGGACCAGAATGCACCGTTTTGCAGGCAGAGCTGTGTGAAAACAGCGATTTCCACGTGCCTGTGACACGCTCAGCGCCGCGTCCTGCCGGTCTCCCTTTGGAGCCTCACACTGAGCTGAGGTCCTTCCCCAGCTCTCTGTGCCACAGCTGCCATACACCAAAGTGCTGTCCCAACTCTTGTTCACAGTTCTGGCCCAGAAATGCCTCCAGTAGGCACTGTGCCTGTCACAGTGCTTCCCACCTGGCTCAGCAAGCTGTAATCCAGATCTGTCCTCAGCGCCACACCCCCGCTGTTGCTCAGAGGGGGCAGCCAGTGCTGGATCATCACCTGCCGTGCCTCTTTACTGGGCAGGTCCACCAGAATCCTCTTCTCCAGCCGCCGCAGCATGGCAGAGTCCAACTCCCTGCGAGTAAAGAGGGAGAGGGAACATCTCAGTGGGTCTTGCTGGGGAGACCTGACCTTGACAGCAAGGTCCTCGCTGCAGGGACTGGCATTTCAGCCCCACCTGTAACTGTGCCAAAATTAAAAAAAAAAAAGGGTTAATTATCCAGTGTGTTCCTGTTCAGCATGTCAGTGATGCGCTGGCTTGTGACACTGAGGATTAGCAATAACAATGAGAACTTGCAGTTTCCGTCCCTGGCTCTGGTGCTCATCTGCTGCATGTCTCATCAGTAACAACCTCTCCCTTTCTCCCTCTGCTATTAAGGAGACAGTACAAATTGTCTGTCTGGGGCACTGTCAGGACTAATTAATTGCTACTTAGTAAGGGATGCTCAGTAGGTATAAAATCCAGACTGAAGGTCTTGGATGTGAGGCCATGTATTACGGCAGAACAAGACGCCGATCTGGGACTGCCCCTGCAATACAAATTGTAAATAATGCACTCACAAAGCATATTATCCTTATAAAAAGGATCTTGTGAAGGGTGGACAGGCTGGATAAATGTGTCAGTGAGCCAAAAACCACGATTCTGTGAACATCAAAACCGATAAAGATGGTTTGCCTTAAAAAAAAAAAAAAGAAAGAAAAAGCTTCTGTACCAATCTTTCTCTACTGGCCCCATTCAGTCACAGACTCATTATTCCAGTTTAAAATATAATTCAGTCCTCCTACCTGCCAAGAAACTTTCATCTAGGGGAAATTCACTTCAATGTGCCTTGTGCAGACAGAAGAACAGGAGCCATAACCACCATTTCCACCCGTGCCGGCTGAGTGGAAGGAACCAGCTGTTGGAGGGTTGTACCTGCAACCTGGGACTGTAAATACACTTAAATAAACCTGCCTCTACCTTTCCCAATTCCCTGGGTGAAATATTTTTGCCAGGAGAGTCAACATTCAGGCTATGAATGGAGTTCTTTGTATGAAACTCCCTTTAATTTACAGGGAGCTCAAAGCCAGCTCAAGATGGATCTGTAGCACACTGACAGAGTTTGTTTCTGTCACATTTGGTGACTTTTCCTTCTTTTTTTAAGAGCAAATGTCTTCTAGTGGCATAGCACATGATAAAGGAACCCAAAAGGGGCCTCTCAAAACTCTGTATAGGGGCTGGGTCTCAGCTCAGCAGGAGCAGCAATGTCCCTCTCACCAGAAAGGATATCTCAGTTTGGGAGACCTTGTTAAACGTGCACTGAGCCAAGGGCAATGAACACAAAGATCAGAAAACCAGACCAACAGGAACCCAGAGGGCAACAGGAGTTTGCTCAGATCCACCCCACTACTTCTAGTCAAGGCCACAGGAGTAAATACCAGAATTTGTTCATCAATGGCTATCAGTATATTAATATTATTATTGATATTTTTAGTCTGTTTCAGATGCTGTCCAACATCCAGTGCAATAGCACAGGGTCCCACAAAGAACCACACTCACCTGTTCACCTTCCAAATGCATTTTTCTACCCATATTACCAAAATTGCTTTTCTTGGATGGAAATTTGCTTATTTGACTGGAAGTAACTGCTCTGGCTGACCAACCCCTTTGCAGTCATTCACCCATATTAACATCCTCTGTGTACAGAGGGCAAAAGTTCTCAAGGTTTCAGAGGTGCCCACACAGGTACTCTGAAAAGCACGTGTAGGCAAAGAACAACCACAGCCAGTCTCTGCAAATACCCTGAAAATCCTCCAAGTGATGAAGTTTTCCATGACTCCTCCTGCTTCCCCCAAAAGATCACAGTTTTATGAGCTCTCTATTGATGTTCTGTAAACACGAAGTTGCTCTTTTTTTTCCCAGAGAAGCTGTGGCTGCCCCTGGATGCCTGGAAATGTCCAAGGTCAGGTTGGACAGGGCTTGGAGCAACCTGATCTACTGGAAGGTGTTCCTGCCCATGGCAGGGGGTTGAAACAAGATGAGTTTAAGGTCCATTGCAACCTACACCATTCTGTGATTCTGTTTATCCAGAAAGGTTACAGTGACCTGGCTTGTTGGCTAAAGAGAAAAATAAAGAAATAGTATTTTTGTTATCTTAAGTGTTTAGGTTGTTTGCTAAATTGTTTTGTTAGGCCAAGTTAAGTGACATTAACCAGAGTAGAATAATAAGCACTGAGCCAACCAAAATATTCTCTGCAACAACAGCCAATGAAAGTACTGAGAGTCGCTCCTGAAAAGGTACTCAAAGTTCTACAGGACCCATAAGACTCAGTGACTTTTCAGAACTCCCCCAGGTTAACATTAGGAGGCATCACAGGATCATGGAACCGTTTGGGTTGGAAGGGAAGAGTCTGTCAGCCCACCCCAAAACCACCCAGCCCGAGGGTGGGGAGGGAGGAGAAAGCAGCACTGCAATGGAAGTTGAATTAAATGTGCTAATTCATTAGGAAACATTCACTACATGATTAAGGATCCTTTTATTCCTTCACTAATGAGGCCTTTATTTTATTTAATTGCACTGAATCATTTCAGCAAGTTATTTGTCAATAGGAATGCTCTGCTGACAAGTAGCTGAAAGTGGGGTTGGGCAGCAAGGAGAGGCTAAAGAGGAAGATCAATAGCTGCAGTGCAGCTTAGGACAGCGTAAAGAGCTTTGTTTAGGCTTCTTTTCATTTGTCTAAAAGCAGCTTGGTACCAATTTTTTCCATGATCAATAAATATCCAAGTTAAACAAATCTCCTGAAATCCAGCTCAGCACCAAATGTTTGCAAGAGCACACGGCTGTGCTGTGAAGACACAACCTCCCACGGTGGGACTAGGTGTTTTGAAACTTTGTTGTTAAATATTCTTGTGGAGCTGAATTCTGGGTCTGACAGTGGGACTCAATGTCATCTATTACTCATAAAACCAATCTGTAAATATATATATAGTTGAGATCTGAAGAGAGGTTCAATCCCTGCTGACCTCTCTGGAGGCAGATACTCCCAAGTTCCTTGAGCCCAGTGATGATGTAAGATGCTCATGACTTTCACTAGCTTTCCATCCCCCTAAGACACCTTGCTAAGCACACATTCAGCCACTCCTTAATGCATTTTCTCTGTGGTAGGGACATTTCTGCCAGACAACCTCGTCAGTACATTCATAGTTTGGATTTGCTTAAGGAAGAGCAAAATCCAACCTGCCCAAAAGAGAGAAAGTCCAAAAGGAAGTTCTAAGCTCTCAGGTAAAACTTTCAGAAGTGAGAGCTGGCTTCTCACAACATCTCAGCTGCCACAGACTGCTTGCTTTGTTTTGGGGCAGTTCCTGCAAAATAGAAGTCTTGTTATTTTGGATCGACCTGAAAAAAAAAATGCTGTGTCAATTTAGCTGTTTCAAAGAAGCAATTTTGCAGACATTTGCACTTCAGTATTGTAAAAATGATCCCAAATCAAACGTGTAAAACACTCAAAACTGAACTCTGTAGTTTCTGCATGACTTCCCAGGAAGAGTTTATTGCTTGTGTAAGGCAGACACAGGCTAACAAGACTCATGCAGGAATCGCTATGCATGAATAATTATCTCACAGGATTAAGTTCAGTCCGTGGAAAGGTGCAATGCACTGCTCAGAGTTTCTCCTTCTAAAAGGGCAATGATGCTGCAGTAACATAAATATTTACAGTGTATTAGTAACAAACCATAAAGATACAAAATTATTAATGTGTGTAATGGATTATTAACGTATATTAATGTCTTAATTCTCTTTCAAACTTAACTGTCCAGTTATTTCTTTTCCCGCATTTTCCTACATAACTGGAACACAATTAGAATTCTGTTCTGTTCCTTTCACGTAGATACTGAAACACAAAATGGGGTGGATTTTGTACTGATTTAAATTCATGAGTTTGTCCAAGGCATAAATCCCCCAAACCAGCACACAGACTCAGCTATTATGGCTGTGTACTCACACTGTTGGGTAGGAACCAGCCCAACTTGTACATCTAATTTCTACACAAAATTTAGGTGTCCACACAGCCATTCTACCACTTAAAGAGCCCTAAATGCTTCGGGCAAACCACAGACAGAGGGGCAGCCTCTGAATATGCTGCCATTTGGCACTTGAATTGGGATCCACATCCTCCTGCTTCTCTGAAGGACTGAGGCTTCTCAGCCCCAACAGGCCAAGCTTACAGGCCACATGGGACTGATGGAAAATACTACCTCTGGGCCTCAATTCTCAGGCACCAACATCATTTCTGTTGTTTTAACTTTCTTTTCCTCTTCCCTGGGCCTTTCATCCAGGCCTGACAAAAAGGGGATCAGCTGAGGAGAGGAATAAAATATTAGCACAGACATTGTGAGAGAACATCAGGTGGTGTGTCGTAACTGACAGGTAAAACTGTGTCCTAGACAAAATAAAATAAAATAAAAAACAAATAAAATACAATAAAATGCACTAGGAGTTGAAGTATTCAAAAGCAAGATGTGGATACATGCTCTGTGTCACTCAGACTCAGACACACCCATCAGACTGCTCAGAGCCCAGAGCCCTCCAGTCACGAAGAGAGGCTTTTCCAGCATTTCTCCCTATGGCAACCCCCTAAGAATGAGCCAAAAATCACTAATCATGAAAAACTATCCATGAATGAAGCCTGTGGTTTGTGGGTGCAGTGCCCCTTCTGGCCTGGTTCCCAGCTGGTTTTGGGTGCCCTGTTCTGTGGCTGTCACAGGGCAGAACTGGGTGTCACCTCAACAAACAAAGTGCCTTTAATGTCAAATTCCAAGTGTTGCCACTTGAAAAGCTGCTGATCCACTGTTCACACAGGTCATTCCTGGGAACACCTTCCACTGGGCCACCCCAAACTTCTCCCAGACCATGGTTTGAAGTTCCCTGGAAACAGGACTGCTGTTTTCTCCTTTTCTGACTCCCAGCTCATAGCTCTGCACTGGATACGGGAATATGTCTGTGTGCCTTTGAGCACAGTTTGAGAACCAACATGATGAAATGCCCTAGTTCCAGTCTCAAATTGTTTATTCTTCTATACTAAATTATGTTAAGAAAACTGAGGAATTGTGCCCCTCAACTTTGAAAAGTCCCTTTTCATATCAATAAAATCCAACATTCCTATTTATGGAGTATCCTTCTAAGCACCAGATGTTTTAAGCACCTTAGAGTTCCAGGCTGAAACCCTTCTTAGCTTAAAACATAGTAAATAACTTGCCTATAAATTCAAATACTCCATTTTAAATATTAGCAGCTGTAGGACCAGCATATGTTGACTTTATTATGGATTATTCTCATGTGACACAAATAGCAAGAATTGAAGAGTTTAAAAGTAAAAGCTCCAAATTAATCTTTAAATGCTTTAACCAAATATCAAGGCTTTTCCTGCAGAAGTCTAAATAAAATCTTTATCTGTGCTTAGAAGCTCATGAAAATGTATTCAAAATGTACTCTCTGGATCTCTTACCATGGCAGATTGGAAGCTGCTAAAACAAATACAAGATCATCAGATCGGGCCAAGCCATCCATCTGCACCAGTAATTCTGTTTTCATCCGCCGACTTCCTTCATGTTCACCACTACCAAGATTCAGAGAAATATTATTTGCTCAGTGCATTAAAGTAATCATCTTTATTTATACAGTGTCATTCACAGCAACTGAGCCCCGTCACAGTTTTGCCCCAGTTCAAAGCATGATTAAGCTCCATTAGCTAACATCTAAGCATTAAAATCAAGCTTTCTAATGATTACTTAAATGGACTCTTTTCAGTGCATTAAAGTGAGGTGAATTCACTATTACTGAATCCAAAGAAAATATTAATTTTTATTTTTTTCCCTTCATATTAATCTCCACTCAACACTGACGTTTACTGGACAACAGCTAAGGCTTTGATTGATTGATTAACTGATCTATACAAGGGAATTTTTACAATGTGATAGTTGCCATTTAAATAACTAACACGCCTACCTATTCAGGGTGGCATTTTTCTGTGAGTGAATATTAAGTGTCCACAAGAAGACACACTAACTACTGAGTTCAGCATGCTGCAAAATGTTCTACCAAGAGCAAGCAGGAAAATATGCCTCAATGACATGAATTTAAAAATGGGGCAGAGACCACACAGAAAGGATCCTTCCTCAAAAAAAAAAGGAGAACTTAAGCAAAGCCCTAAGAGTTCTGGCCCTGATCCAGGTAATCAGTTTTGTAGAAAACCAGCTGGAACTCTTGGTTCCAGATGTGGAACTCTTGGAAGCTCCTGGATTGAGCCCAGGGAAAACATCAGGGCCTTAGATGGCAAGAGCTGCGCTTCAGGTTTAATGGCTTATTTCTGCAAAGGCATCCACACATCAGTGCCAAGTCAGTATTTAATAAGGATATGTAAAAATACATCTAGGAAGGCAAAATTTGGGTCATAATTAGTATCTATTAACTGAGAATGATTAGAAGTAGTATCTTTAAAATAGGGCATATTCTATTTATAAATGGCAAACAAGAAATATAATATAAACTGAGTATGTAATTCACTGTACATAAAATCCACTGTAATGGGTTCCTAACGGTTATAACAACACTTTTACATTTCTCCTGCTCCTTTCCCATCCCTAACCTTTTCAATCAGTTTTTTAACTATAAACTGTCTATGCCTTGGGTGAAAATAGTAATATCCAACCATTCCTGCAACTGGAAGTTCTGACAATGCCACCAAAATCTGTTCCATTAATGAAAATGCCATTCCAGTGTGTACACTCCATATTACTCTGCTATGCCTACGCTTGTCTAAAGTGTAAAAAAATCACCTGACAATTCATCTGTTGTTTCCCCCACCACTGCCTTTATTTCCACTCCAAATCCCTGATTTTAAAATACAGCAGCACTGGTTATACACACTTGCTGCCCCCCTAGCCCCTTGCTCATCCTCACACAACCTGCCTTTCACTCTTGCTTCTCTTCTGCAACTGAAAAAACCTTCCACCCCACTCTTCAAATCCCCCAAAGTGGTCCCATCAGTTACCCAGGAGCAGTGCCTCTTTGACTCATAACTGACTCCAGCTCATCCAAGAAAATTGTGGAAGGAGCGTGGTAGCGGGCGAGCTCGAACAACACCTGTTCAGAGAGAAGAGCAAATGTGAAGGAAACTGGCACAAAAGGGCATCAAGGACCACTGGCACGCAAGATAAATAACAGCACCCACAGTTCCAAGGGATGTCTGCTGGGAAAAACCTCTGGGTAGGCTGAGGGTCCCCGAATACTCTCGAATTCTGAGAGGTTTGTAAAGGAGATATAAAGAACACAGCCTTGTAATCCTGTCTTTATGTGTAAATCTTTCTGGCTAAATCCTATCAGAGTACCCTGAGAATAATGGGATAGAAGAAAATGATCCATCAGAGGATTCTGGGAACTCCTAAATTGTTATCAGAGATTAAACATGCGCCTTTTGTTGTTGCTCCATTTTAGTTTTTTTTTTTAAATAAGGATTTGAGAAAAAAATATAAGTCAGCTGAATCATAATGAAAGAAAATGGACCGATTCTCTTTATAAGAATCAAGCAGTTATTTTGGTTTTATTTCTGGTGAAAACAAGCATAAATTGCTTGACCAACCAAGATTTAAAAAATGGACTATTAAGCTGACAAAAAATGTGGATCTGCCCTTTGTAGAAAAAGTTTCATCATGTTTTTCCATAAACATGGAGAGGCCTGTGTTAGCACTAAGAACACAATGCCAATTCTTCTAGACTAAAGTGTTGAGTTTTTAAATAACTGTCACATAACAATACATATTAATCCAGCACTTCTTAATCTGAACACTTAAACAAAGCAAATTTTAAAAGATTTGTATTATATTCATCACTTTGAATATGAAACACAGGGTTTAAAGTATTTGCCCAGAGTCACAAGTAGACCATGACCAATTTTACTAGAAATCTAAAATTTAAAATCACAGAAATAATGTGTAGAACTGAGGAAAACAGGATGAGTGGACATGCCTCCAAATGACCACAAAACCCACGTACCCTTCCCACAACTTCAGAAAACTCCTGCACCAGCCTCGTGTGATCTTGGGATATAAATACACACAATACTTTTCTTAGAGCTCTCCTGATCCACAATCTCATTTCATTTTTTGATTCTGCCAAAAACTCAGCTAAGGGTAAAATGCCACAAATTCAATATAAATGCAAGTGCTGCGGCATGTTCACAAATACCTTTCGGATAATGGTGTCGAAAAACAGACTGTCCCACCCCTACTGTTGCCAGAAAGGAAAAGTCCAGGAAGCTGCTGAAACAGGTGTCAAGAGGATCAGTAACAGGAGGGGAATGTCAGGAGAAAAATGTCGTTTTAAAGGTACAAGAAGGCAAGAAGAATAATTGTGCTGCAGACATTGCCAGCATTTCAAGAAAGATTAACAATGCCTGGAATGCCACTTGCAGGGTACAATTCGTTATGGTTGTTTATTCCCAAAAGCTCTGCATCTGTCCAAGGTGTAGCCTAAGAGATCACAGAATCAGAGATGACCATAAAGGAAGGTCTTAAGGGCTTGTGGATTTCTTACACAGAAATGGTGGACATTATGGAGTGATTCCGATGGGTATCCCAGGGCAAGGATGCTACACCTGAATTTTTCTGGACCACAGCTGAGCTATGAACACTTCTTCCTAGTCTATATTAAAAAATACATTTACTTATTTACCATTAAACTACCTTCCTTAAAACATTACATGTGCATTTGAGTGTAAGATCTTTGTGACAAGGGAATTGCCGATTTTGTGCCATGAAGACTAAGAATAATAGGGAACTTGGTAACATTTTGTAGGAAGCCTAGGAGACAACACTTGCAAAAAGGATGTGAAGTGGTCTGAAGGGGTCACTAAGCAAACACTACTTTAGTTAGGAACTCTGCTTGTCTGTCTGTTCTTCATTGAGTCAAAGATCTTTGCTGCCTTCAGAACATCTGCTTCATCTTACATCACAGAACCGAAGTGCCACAGCAAGAATCCATTGCGAGACTTGTGTAGAAGTGACGCTACTGCCATTTTAAGAACTAGGTATGATCAAAGTCATGTTTTGTCTAAGTAAGTCCGGACAGATTATGAGCACCAGAGGAACATTTGCTTTCCAGTTCTGTGTCCAACCCCAGTTCTTCAAGAGGGAACCTGATGTTTGTAAATTATAATGAATGAGAGAATAATTCTTACCCGGACAAGTTTCTCTGAATCACCTCTCCATTTGCTGACAATGGTGGATGCTGATATGTTGAAAAACGTTGTGTTGCATTCTGTGGCAACAGCCTTAGCAAGCAAAGTTTTTCCAGTACCTACAAACAACAGTGTTTGAGAAATTCACTCTCTAAGGGAAGACAATGCAAACATTTGAATAATTCCCCTCCTCACACTACCAGTCAGGTAAAATCAGTAAAATAGTCATAGTATGGTTTGGGTTGGAAGGGATCTTGAAGCTTATCTCATTCCAACCCACTGCCATGAGCAAGGACAGCTTCCACTAACCAGGTTGCTTCAAGCTGTGTCCAACCTGGCCTTGGACACTTCCAGAGATGGGGCAGCCACAGCTTCCCTGGGAAACCTGTGCCAGTATTTCACCACTAGTATTTCACCACTAGTATTGCATCAGTATTTCACAGCCAACAATCCCTTCCCAGGATCCCATCTAACCCTGCCCTCTGGCAGTTTGGAGCCATTCCCCCTCGTGCTGTCCCTCCATCCCTTGTCCCCAGTCCCTCTCCAGCTCTCCTAGAGCCCCTTTAGGCCCTGGAAGGGGCTCTCAGGTCTCCCTGGAGCCTTCTCTTCTCCAGGTGAACCCCCCCAGCTCTCCCAGCCTGGCTCCAGAGCAGAGGGGCTCCAGCCCTGGGAGCAGGTTGTGGCCCTTCCAGATTTTCTGGGGCAACTCAGGTAATACAGCACTGCAAATGCACTTCCCAAGGTCTGAAGCAGGACGTGATGATATGGTCAGGTGCCTTCTGTGGCAAGTACATCTGAACATTCACAGGAACAAATGGAGTTCACTGCAGTGGCAGCCTCTGCATCCTGACTCAAGTGGTTCTTATGCCCTGTGTCCCCTTCCAGCCACCCTCATGGTGGTGGTGCTTGTGTCAAGAAGGGGCAGAGGGAGCAGGGAAGCTGTGCTGGCACACCCAGGAAAACACACAACTAGCCCAACAGAGGGAAAAGTTTCCACCCTATTCCCAAAACAACCCCTAAAAGCAGAAGAAAGGAAGGACATTTTCACTGAGGATATGAGTCCATGACAGATCTATTCACATATCAGAGGATCAGGTCATGCCAGACTTGATTAATATGGTCCAAGACGAGTAAAAATGAGTATGAGTTTTCAGGCCTCTGAATTGTTAGTATAAGCACTGTTTCTGGATGATTCAGGTGTAAAAAATAGTCAAGGCTCACGAGAAAGGACAGGTTTGAGTGCTAGAGATGGACATAACCATCCAACACTCTCTCCTTTTAACTCACATCACAGAACAGGTTCTTTTCTAACATACTTGATCTAATTAGCATCAATGATTTATGCATGGGACAAAACCAGAAGCAGTGATGAACACAGAGATATGGTATTAAGCTCTCCATACCTGGTGGTCCATAGAGCAACAACCCTTTCCAAGGGGACAGAATGCCAGTAAACAGCTCTGGGTACTGTGGAAACAGAAAAGTAATTCAGGGATTAAAAATACATCATCTATAACAAATTGCAAGGGATTCTAGTCCCCACCTTCACTGCTCTTAACACTTTCAGGAAACACACAAAATTTGAAAAGAGACATAAAAACACACCAAACAATGTAGTATGTATGATCTGAATACTGATAAAAATCCTTTACTGATTTGAAATCTGTTTTAAGTGATTTTTTTTCAAATGCCACTGATTTCATATTCTCTTCTGTAAGCCATTTTTCATGGAATTAATATAGGCCAAATTCAGAACTTCTTACATAGTCAAAGGTGCCAAAAAATTGGACTTAACACATTTTAATGTGTTAATTTTAATACCGAAAGGTCATTTTTCTATAGGAAATGCAATTTCAGGTGGAGCAGGAATAGTTCTAAGAGGAACAGGAGTAGTTCTAACATGAACTGCTTACAAAAGGACAGAAATAGTAAGAACTCTAAAACAACACGGCAATTGCAAGGAAAATGCTCAGGAGCCCAACACCAGTTTTCCCAAAACTATTTAGGACTTTACCTTTATGGGATAAACAACTGCTTCCTTGACCAGCCTTTTAGCTGCATCCAGCCCTATAATATCATCCCACTTCACGTTGGGCTTATGGAGATAAATGTCCTGCAACACACATCACATCTTGTTAGTAAAACTCCTGCACCAGGATAATGACCTCTGGCAAAGTAAAAGGATTGACTCAGAGATAAAATAAAAGTGCTGTTAAGTGATACAAGCTGTATTATTTAACCCTACATGCCAGGGACTTCCCAGGAGGAAAGCACACACAGCAATCATTTCCCTCAAGCTTCCCCTCCAGCCCCCAGTTTCCCTGATGTATTCCTGCCAAATGTACTCACTCTCAGATATGTTTTCTGTTACTTTGGCTCAATAACCACCCAACATATGAAGAACTACCATGATATGAAGGGTCACCAACCCTAATATTTTGCCTCTGTTGCTGGCAAGTATGGGAAGTTTAAAAAACAGAAGTATAAGCAATAGTATTGATATGTTGGTTCAAATTTATATCCACAAGTGTACTTCAACAGGACTTAAATAATTCAAACTCCATCCTAGTCTTTGAGTTCAAACACCTTTTGACATTCATTCTTCAGCAAATTTCTCTTCCCTCTTTTTACAATGTGTTTATTCTGTAACCACTGTGCAATGTGAAAACACTTTTGTTTTTCTAAACTTGATGCTCAGTAACTTTATGGCTGCACCGATTACTTACATTATTACTCATGTTATAAGTAACACTGAAAAACTGCTATTTACCCCACACTATGCAAGATTTTATAAGCTGTGCGAAACTCTGCAACAGGAGGAAAATTTTCCCCCAAGCTTCTATCAAAAGATAGTCGGTAATTAGTCTATGCCCTGAAGCACTCACTAAATTAATTTCATTTAATTCATCAAACTTTCCAAATCTTCTATGAATCTTTCCATTTGCCTTAGAAATATTTTGTGGCTTTCTGTTCCAGAGGCTAATTGTTCTGCAAAAAGTATCCTATCCTCAATACAGATACTAAAGATAAATTCTGCTCTCCAATAATAACAGCCCCTGCAGACTGAAGGATTATGTGCTTGTATCCAAGGGGAAAAGTTGATTTAATACAATTAGAAAAAATTATTTATATAGAGTAGACTGTACTTTCCCTTTCTATTAACAGCGAATTAAGATGAATCAGATTTCTGATATTAAGTAGAGGCTTCCATAACTGTTTCCAAATTAAATTAGATTGTGTTATGAAATAGATACTACATGCTCTTTATTTTTATTGATTTATACAGTGTCAATTACCACAGCAACTAGGAACATACCATAATGAAGCACAATGCAAAAAATATAACATAATGGAGGGAAAGCAACTGTATTGCTTTCTTGCTAACACAGCAGCAGGAACATCACTATTTTAAAGGTTTACCACAAATTAAAAGACCAGACAGGAACTGAAATGAATGAGACTTTTCTTACTTTAAGGTCAGAAATTTCTTAACACTTGAATTCTACCAAACTTCAAATGCAAGACTTGCAGACCAAGAATTTGGGCCATACACAGCTATGAACAAATCACTCAGCAAAATATTCCAGGCTTTTTTTAAACAGGTGATATAAGTACATGGGAGCAACAGCTGATACCATTCTTGATGACTATATCCAGAAAGACTCACAACACTACCACATACTGTGATACTAAGAAGCCTTTTGGATGAATGCCTCATCCAAAGGTGATGCATGCAAAGCTGATTTGTAGCCACTGATCCCCAGCAGCCCAGGGACTGTTTGTTAGACTACACCTCAACCCACGAGCGAAATGAAATGGTGTCAAACTTCCCATCCTGGAAGAATCCCCAATCTGCCCTGGGTGCATCGCTGATGCTGCTCGTGCAGCTCCTGTGCTGGGATGAGGGCACTGCTCACAGAGTCTGCAGTTACAGCACCTCTCAGCTGCACCAGCTGAGAAGAGACAGGAGAACAGATCATGCAGCTGCTCAAAGCAAAGCACAGGACCAGTGCTAGGCCAATGTCCCCGGGGCTGTCCCAGCTGTGGGGTGGCAGCAGGGCCAGGGCAGTGCCTGTCCCTGTGCTGGCCCTGCTGAGGCACCTCCAGTGCTGGGGCAGTTCTGGGCCCTCAGACAGGAGAGACACTGAGGGGCTGGAGCGTGTGCAGGGAAGGGAACGTAGCTGGGAAGGGGCTGGAGCAGCAGGAGCGGCTGAGGGAGCTGGGGGGGCTCATCCTGGAGAGAAGGAGGCTCAGGGGGGACCTTCTGGCTCTGCAACTCCCTGACAAGAGCAGGGAGCTGGGAGGAGACCGGGCTCTGCTTCCAGGGAACAAGAGACAGGATGAGAGGAAATGGCCTCAAGTTGCACAAGGGGAGGTTTAGGTTGGACATCAGGAAAAATTTATTCCTGAAAAGCATTATCAAGTCTAGGAACAGGCTGCCCAGGGTAGTGTTGGAGTCCCCATCCCTGGAGAGATTTAAAAACCACATGAATGTGGCACCTGGGGACATGGGTGAGTGGTGGCCTTGGTAGTGCTGGGGGAACAGATGGACTTGATGGTCTTAGAGGGCTCTTCCAACCTAAAAAATTCTGTGATTCTGTGATTCTAAATAATGCAGGAACAGCAGGGTTTAATAATAATTTTTGTTTAGTAGATACATTCAGATTCAGATACTGATGTGACACTGCCACACTGCCAAAAGCTCAATGCCTTGAATGGAAGCTGCACCCACAGGCTTGATTCAAGTTTTTTCCCAGCATTACATCACAATTAAATAATACATCAGATGACAGTTACTATTAACTAATATATTTAAATCTCTCTTTTCAGAGAAGAATTGTAATTCTTCTGTAGCAATAAGAACAAAGGGAAAAGCCACAACAGTCTCCATAGCATGATTAGATTACATGTTCCCTATTAGAAAGGAATGGTCTCAATTACTCCCATTGTGTATCAAAAAGAAACAACTTGTAAAGAAGTGACTTGTTGGGAGGTGCATGGAAAGAAAACTAGCTTGCATATTCAAGAATAAGCACCCTCACTGACAGTAAAAAGAAACAAAAACAGCATTCTCGGATGACAAAGATAACCAACACCTCAGTAAACTAACATGGAGATTGATCTTACTTTGCTTACAACCATTGCAAGCTCCCTCATCTCACCAGTCATGCCAATAAAGGCGCTAAGGGGTTTCAATAATCGTTCCTGAAAAAGAAGAACATAAGTTCTTGTCAGACTTCAAAAATATTTTTAGACAGACAAACTATTAAATACTTCTTTAAAAGCTGGTGTGTGGTAGTAATATCAACTGTTACAGGTGCAGAAACTTGGATATTAATGAAGATTTTGAAGTAAGCCATTTTTGCAGTAAGGCAGACTGGCTGGCATGTGAGCTGGGTGCACTGTCTGAGAAGTCTGGCTTGTGTCAAGGAGTGATTACTGAAAATTTACCTCAACCATCTAAACTCTGCTGCTGTCTCAGCTGAGGTGAATGCTAAAACCACACTGCATTCAAAGGAACCAGAATTTCACCCTCAGAAGTTCTGTGAGTTTCTGCAATTATTATTATTATTATTTTCATCATAAGATATAATTTCTATTTGTTGCATGTTCAAAAAGTAAGCAACTGTCAACAAATGAAGCCAGTATCATGTATGACTGTCCTTTCAAGAAGGAAATACCCCTCTCAGAAATCTAAGCCCCTCTTTAGCACTTGGGAACAAAGATAACTTTGTTGCAGTATTTTATTTTTTCCCCCGATTATGTAAAACTCATTTTATTGTTAGTGGATGGAAACACGAACAGAAACACTTACTGAGGGATCTGGATCACAGTTAAGGCTGTTCAAGGCAATTTCATTTGGTGACATTCTGACAGCATCCTGAATCATCCCATGGAAGTCAATTACTTGGCCCTAAAGGAGAAAATAATGTTGTAATAGGCTCTACCCACGATGGTAGCCCTACACTGGACCAAATTTTGTTTGCAGTTACAGGGTCTCCTTACTGCATATACAGTCCTAATTACGGCAAAAAATAGACCACAAAATCTGCAGTAGCAACAGGAGTAGAACACATATCTGAGCCATTGAAACAATTTAACTACAGAGCCTCTTATCATCTCATTCAGGAATTCAAAATTTATCTTCAACTTTAGGTATTACCACTGGGTTTTAAAAACAAAAATATTCTTCCTTTTTGAGTATGTCTGAAGTTGTATTTAATGCAAACAGAGCTTCCTATGCAAAGAATTGTCACCCAAATCATAAAATTGACCCTTCAACTGATTATACAGGAACATTTTATATAAAAATAGACTCAGAAAGCTAACATTTGATATTTTTTAAAACCTTTGTGGGTTTTAATCCGTAGATATTTCTGTGATAAATCACATACCAGGTTTCCACCAACCTTTCTTGGGTGAGGGCTGTCTCCTCCAGGTTTGCTGATTGCTGAGATGCTTAAGCCAAAGTCAGGTTGATCCAGAGTAACTGCACTGTCACTATTCTAAAAAAAAACCAAACAAATTTTTAAAAAGACGTGTTGCCAAGTAGATGAATTGAAGATATTACATTATAGGTATCATCCCACCTCTTCATATACGCCCAGGTGAACTGTATCATTACATGGAAGTTCCAAGAGTAATCCCACACTTGTCAGACCAACACCACTTACATTTAGTTAGGCTTCATCTGACTGGTGACAGCAGTGAAAGCCACAGCTCCAGAGCTTAGCAGTCCACTTATTTCATATACAGGGCAGAAAACTGCACTTTATACGGTTGTAAGAGGCAACACTTACGAACAGTAGAAATTACAGGCAAATGTAATGTATAGAACATCAACTCAGAGATGAGGAGCTATTACATATTCACTTCACAGAAGTTATTGCTGTAAAATCCCAAAGGTAATGTTTTGGGGTTTTTAGGGGTAAAAACAGGTCAGAGATTAATTCCTCTTGGTGCAGAAATATAGACAAGCCCTTAAAAAAAGGTGGAACAGACACAGTGCTTGCCCACCAACCTGCTATTCCTGGACCACCCTCTGTAAGGGATGATAATAAAGTGGATTTCACAGTTACCTTAACCAAATGAGACTCCCAAAATTGAAAATTACAGGACCAAACTACTCCCCCAGTCTCAAACACCTTATGCACTGTGAAGATGCTTAGAACTCACACCAGACTTTCTGTTTGACTTGTTTGTCTTGCTTTCTGGCAATAAAGGATGAATATGCTGATATTAATGGGAAAACTCTGATTGCTTTCACCGTAAGTTGGATTATATCACTCCTTTTCCTCCAGTTTTTGCCTGTGACTTGCCCCCCAACTCACAGCCAGAAAACAAGTCTTGAAGTCTTTCACCTATAACCCTTGAATTACATAATCAAAAAAGCCCACTAGTTGCACAGTTATTAATGGTGTGACTCCCATACACTTGCTGCCTATAGACTCTCAAAAATAAAATCACATTAATTTCAACTGTAATGGTATCAAGCTAAAACATGTTCAAACCTGTCTGGGGCTCTCCTTGGCAGATGATTTAGGTTCTGTTGTACTCCCAGAAGTTTTTGACGCAGTGTGGTGCACTGTCTGTACCTTGAGCCTTGGTATATTTTGAGAAGAGCTTGCTGCCCTAGAATTTAAAAAACAAACAAACAAACAAAAACCCCAAACAAACAAACAAAACAACAACAACACAAACATTTTCACAACTTATTTTTTTCCTTACAAATACCAAAAGAAGGCAAGTTTTCAATTAAAGCAGTTCTGGGATAACTTTGCTCCAGTTGAAGCTATGGCATCAATTTCAATCTCAGCAGAGTTCAATGCTTGCTGCTTACAAACACCTCACCCTACCTTATCCACACTGCAGAAACTTTGCAAATTGCCTGCCTCTCCATTTGGGAAACAAGTCTCTATTTGCCTGTAACACATCTCACAGTCAGCAGCACAGCCCTGGGCTTTAATATTCCCGAGGTATCACCACATTATTTTAACCAGGGGGCATATTGTTTTTACAGGAAAATTTTCTGCCCAGAAAAACACCCCACATGTTTCTCTTACCTTCTTGGTCTTCCCCCAGTTCGCAGCTGTTGTTTATTTTCGGCTGTGGCAAAATCAACATCGAAATGGAAAACAATTAAGGATAGAAAAAAAAAAGGCAATTTGACTTTTTTTTTTTTTCTCCCTTCAAAAATATTTGTAAGAATACATTAGTGACATTGGAAATAACAATGCATAAGCAGGATCAGCATGATAATATAAGCACTGCAAGCTTGCAAAAACTTTTTGAAAACAAACTGACACTGGTGAGAGCAGTTTTGCTTCAAGCTTGTTCTGGTTGAGCTCATTCAGTCTTTGGCTTCTCTACTTACATTTTAAAACCAGTATCATGTTCACATGGGCACTACCAGAAATTAGATTAAGCATAATAATTTAATATATCACACTGAATGCTTATTTAATGCTAATAATTTTTTCATTGCTGAACTGGGAAATATGAATTTTCCTTACTCCTCTTCATAATAATCAAGTTCAACATAACAAGACAGAAAAAAAGTCACATTGCAGTGGTGGTTATTAAACTATGCTATTTTTTTGCATTTATATAATTTGAAACAAATTCTGCCAAAGAAAAGCTTTTTTTCACAAAATGTCAAACTCTCAAAGCCCAGATATGAACTCATAAAGCCGAGGGTTTGTGCCCTACTAGCACAGCCCTGGTTGTTCCAAAACATGTCTCCTATCAGTGTTTTCTGTACAACACTCTTCCACTCAAGATTCTCACACGCTCACATAAAATAATCCTCCCCAAACAGCTCTTTCACTCAAAGAGCTTGGGAACACAGAGGCAGCAAAGCCCACAGATAAACTTCTGATCCTGGGGGTTTGTCTGTAATACTTCCAACTGGAACCCAGCATGGAAGTGACCATGTAAGTTCTCTAGGACTTCCCAAGAGTGTTGCAAACAGTTTAGTAGGAAGGAGCACCACACTAAGCCTTTTGTTTAGACACAGATATCTGACCATGGGCACAATTTAGGGCACCTTGCAAACTTGCAAACTGCATGAGAGGAGGCTGCTTACACTTCAGGGGAAAACGATGATGCCTCCCTGCCAGCACAGTCACAACTCTGAGCTTGGGTAGTGCCAGAGTACTCCAAGTCTGAGTAGCTTTACTGACAAAAAAATGCTTACTGAGAGCTTTTAAATGTCCCAGAGTGGCTTTCTAGGAATTGGGTTTTTTCTCTTCAGTCATGGATTGAGCCTTGACTACCACTCAGTTTGACTAAGATGTGAACAAATGCTTTGTAATACATTTTCACTCTTGATTCATGACAAATCCCTTCGGTTTTGTCCTGCAAGGCTGTTCCTTTTTGTACTAACACTAATCAACAGGTTCTAGATGCACATACCTTTTTCATGCAAATAATCACAGAATCCTTTAGGTTGGAAAAGCCCTCCAAGGCCATCAAGTCCAACCATTCCCCCAGCACTGCCAAATCCACCACTAACCCATGTCCCCAATTGCCACTTCCACAGGGCTTTTAAATCCCTCCAGGGACGGGGACTCCATCACTGCCCTGGGCAGCTGTGGCAGGGCTGGCTGGACAACCCTCTCCATGAAGAAATTTTCCCAATATCCAGTTCAAATCTGTATCCTTCAAGCTCTTCATCACTGATTTTTACAAAGTTGTTCTTATAGCTTCTCTAAGTTACTTTTTGTGCTCAAGTGCAAAACCATTCAGGCTCTCAGGGTCATAACAGAATGCTCCTATTCTGACTTGCCTTGTTCTGTATCATTTTTTTATACCTCAGCCTTACTATTCTCTCTCCATGAGAAGGAAGTGAATAAATATATCTATTCCATAATGCTTTGTGCTCAGTTGACATTTTCCACTATCACAGCTGTTTTTAAAAGACAGAAGAATGCCACTTTTTTGTTACTCTGCATAATGAGAGAAGGGAGAGGAGAAGGGCTCAAAACCCCATCTCTCGATTCTTATGTCTTCTGTGCTAGAACTATAGGTCTGTAACTGTAAGGGTTGGAACATTAAATGCTGACATACACAAAAAGGGCTGTTAGCATAGCAGGCAAACATACATTTTAGGCTTTGGAAACAAAAGCTTTCTTTTTGGAACAGAGTCACATACCAGTGTCCAGCACCCTTTTGGTAATTTTAGGATACTTTTGAAATTTTACAAAGTAATAGCTTTCATATTCCATCAAAATTGTCTCAAGATCAACGTTGTCACAAACTTCAAAGCCACGTAAACTTAATTTTGTCTCTTTTTCCAAAGCATTTGCAGCATCGACATATCTGGTAATTTAAAAAAAGGAACAAAGATCAAAAAACTGAGAGTCATGATCTTACTCTGATTTTTAAGAGAAAAAGCAAACAATGGCATTAGTAACTATATGGTATTTTTAACTTGTCCACAACTCTATGTATTATAGAAGTATAAACTCTATTTAAAAAAACCTTTGCTGGTTGATCTAAAGTATTTTTTAATTATAGAGGACATTTTTGTTCCAGAAACTGAAACAATTTAGCAAAGTTAAATGCCAAGATAGTAATAGTAGTTCACCTCTTTTCACACCAGCCCAAAGGCCCACACTCTTGATCTACCCAACGGAAGGACATAGTACAGGAGGTCAGACACACACAGTCCCACAAAGCAGAGCCCTGTTATTTAAAAAACATACCCTTCCTCCATTAAATAATGCAAAATTAGAATGAGGAGATTTTTCCGACGAGCTTCTGTTCGCATCTCCTCCTGTGAATTAAGACAGAACTCTAGATCAAATGTAATATTCTCTTTATTGCTGTAAACAGCATCTAAATGTAGCCTGTGGAAACAAACAAATTAAGACAGCAGCATGTAGGAACTGTAAAACAACTCACTGTTAATAAAGACAAGGAAAGTGGTTTTCAATCTAATTTTTCTTACACATTATCAGGGCTACTGGATGGGTAGCAGCCTCTTCCTTGAGAAGAGAAAATTCCTTTGAGGTTGAACAAATAGCTTACTTCCCTTACTATGGTTATGGATCTCCAACATGTTCAGGCTGCTGCAAATTCCAGGGCAGGACTCTTGCAGACATCAATGCCCAGAGTCTCCAGGGGCAATGCAAGGAAATCTAGTGCTCCAGCCGGGCTGTGTCCTTCCCTTGCAACCAGAAACCTGTTCTCTGAGTGCTTGGAGGAGGGGGCTGGAGAACAAGGTCTGGGACTTGCAGGGCTCTACTACCAAGACCAGCTGTAACACTTTTGGCACCTCCCGTTTCATGGGGCTTGACATATAAACACAGCAAGTGAAACACAGACACTTGTAGAATTGTAGTGGATTGGGGTAACAACAAACTTGCATGATTTTAACACAGGAGCAACCAAAACCAGGTCTAAACACACAGAAATTTCAATATGCAGTCAGTCCCATGGATTTCTTGGCACAGAGTGGAGAACCCAAAGTCATTCACAAAAAGTTCAGCAATAAAAACAAAGCAGTGTAAAACACCTCTATCTTCATTCAGTGAAGCAGCATCTGGGGGAGCACCAGGTGCAATATCAAATAGGGAAAAAGGGGTGGTGGAAACAGAAATCATGCCAGATGCTGGAACAAGGCCTAACTCCAATGAAACATGCTGTCTCTGCTGAGTGATTGCAGAGAAACCCTGAGATTTTAGGGTCATAACTGAATTTGCTACATGAGTTTTTGCTAGAAATCAGCGAGTTGACTCTGGTCGGCCTCACTGGGACTTCAAGTTGGGACCACAGGAAAAGCAGATATGGCCAAACCCACATTTAGGGATATAAATTCTTTCTCTCTTAGGATGCTGGTATTCAGCATTGGAAGATGCAGTTGATGATCCTCATGGGTCCATTCCAACTTGGGATATTCTGTGTATTTTATGATTCTAGGATTACTTACAAGGACCCAGTGTGAGCTGAAAGAGTGGCACTTACTTAGCAGATGGGGTAAGAGCAGCAATTTCTTGCATAGCACAGAAACATTCCTGATCACACTGCACAGTAATGCTGCACAGGCTCCCACTTCCCCCCAGTTTGCCTCCAATTGAACATCCATCCCCAAGAAAAGCCCAGCCTGTGTGTGTGACCTGCAGGTGACAGACCCACAGATCTCCATCCCCTTCATACTGCAGAGTCCCAGCATCTGTGTCAGTGACTTCTGCTGCTCTGCCTGTGCCTGGCACACTGACATGCCAAAGAATTACTACTGGCCAAGGCTTATGTTCTCAAACCTCACAATATGCACAGAAGGAATATGAACACAAACATGCAATTCCTCTTATCTTTCAGGGTCTCTTGGAAGGAAACGTCATTACAGTAAACTGCTGATACTGGAGAATCATTTATTCCTAAAATCAAAGGTGCTTTTGGGTCGTGCAAAACCAATTTACCTCTTTAGCATGCTGCTCCTTTGCCAGATTAGATTTAACTACTCCCTCTCCTCTGTACAGTTGATATCACACAGCATTCTGCTGCTAATTTAAACACTTAGGATAGCACAGTCAGCTATTTCTTTATTTTAAAATAAAATCTGCCAGCCTCTAAAAAGTACTGGGTAGAGCAGGGAAAAGGTATCTCAGCACAGCAAGTATTTCCTGGGATGTTTGCTTCAGGGGCCACCTAGTGTCACGACTAAGAAAGGGCTGGGGTTTGCTCTTAAAACACCTCCTGCAGAGCAAAAGTTGCAATTCACATAGTACTAAAAAGATTCACAGACTCTTCATTCCGGTTTTCTATAAAGAAGAATAAAACTGGCTGGTGAAAACTGAAGAAACCACACCCCATTTCTAGCCTTTAGATACTTCGATACCGTCTTGATGAAGTTTTTCAGGGTCCATAAGGAAGCTACAATACTGTTTGCACTTCAGTGCAGGTACCAAGATAACTTTTCTGAACCGTTTTGGTGAGGAAAGAAAACTGAGCAAATGCTTGGTAGATTAGAAACACCTGAATGAAGCAGACCTGTGAGCTGCTGCAACAAGAAATGAACCAATTCTGAGAACTGTCATGAGGAGAGAGAAAACACTGACACCCTGGGATGAAAGGATCTTTTCCTTCTTAATTTTTGAGGTGCCGGTGTTCGAAAAACAGATTTTGAATTGTGGCCGTTTTACCGTTTCTCCTGGATAATCTGAATCTTCTGAAACACGGTCGGAGGTGCAAGAAGGAAGCTGAGAATCCCACCTGCACATTCTTCGAAATGCAATTGCTCCAGATGGTTTTTATGCTGAGAAAGATTAACTGTTGTGTTTGCCCACATATCAAAGGGCAAGGTCACAGCTACCTCTGAATACTTAAAGCACAGTATGCAAACACAGTGGCTGCCACAGAAGACAAACACATCAAGTGTTTTGTGTAATAAACATGGACACTCTTGACAAGAGAGGAATTGCCTCTGCCTGATGAACTGACAGGGCTCACTATCGATGCTCAGAACTTCCCTTGAAAAGAGTTTGCATTCTGGCATGTCTTCTGCTGCTGTTCATCCCTCCGGGTTACTTCTGCTATCCCTAAAGCATTTTAAGTTCTAGTATAACTAGTGATACAGTGATTGGCAGGATCTCAAATACTCCGTGTAGAGCCTTGCTTTGGGTATAGTACAGCATTGTGCCTACATATGAGACACTTACTTCAACCTTGACATAGTAATGTTCTGATTGTGCTGACCAAGAGAAGGAAAAGTGAACCTTTACATCCAGAAAGAGCCTCATCCAAAAATCAGAAGAGTTTAGACTGAAAGGTTAAATTAATTCTACCTTTAACTCATTAAAAAAGACTTGCATTAGGTTGGATCTGAAACACAAAAGAGAGACATTTCTGGTCCCAATTCGGTGAGGTTTCTACAAAAGGAAAATCAAGGACCTTACATCGTGTTACTGTTACAAGATCATGCCTCTGGTTAGTCAGTGGTGCACAGATCACTGCTTTCTTCACCAATTCCTGCCTTCAGCAGTCCTATTTTACCACATACTCTTTCCAGATGCCTGGTGTCAGTGCCACCAGAGAACAGCTCTCTGCCCACCCCGGTCTGCCATCCTGAACTCCAGTTTACCCTCCAGGGACTGACCCCCACTGCAAACATGTCCACAAACTATGGCCACCGTACAGACAGACACTAACACTGCCCAGGGCTTCCGTTGTGCTCAGAGAGGAAATGGTAAATCTTAACACAGCATGAAAAAAACAGGAGTGCTTACGAGTGCAAAGTTACTTAAAATTCAGTTTAGCTTTATAGCGATTTAGCCTTCCTGTTTAATTAGTATTTAGAATTGCATGTTGTTTATAGCCACTGGTATTTCAATAGATGTTTAAATGTTTAAAGTTTAATAAGCTTCCATTCTTAAAAGAACAAAAAAATGTATGTAATTAAATTTTCAATTACTATAGGGGATTTTGGGGTCCCTGAAATTAATAAAAGCTTAAGGCACTTAAATGTGATCTTGTTTTAAAAACTAAATAGTTGAGCACTTAACTAATTAGCTCCAACATTTATAGTGCTATTTTATTTATTTCTAGCTTAACAAAAGAGCACTACATACTCCTTTCTTTGAGTCATTTGAAATTAAACTCTAATAGAGTTGTGCATCTTTAAATGCAATTGTTTGTTTAGTCATTTCCACACCTTTTACTAAAATGCATTTACATTATAAATCAACCGAGTCTCTTGGGTAATTCCATCAAATTAATGGGCCTACTAAAAGATTAATTTAACTCTATAACATTTCATTATCTTTTGCCCCTATGTATTCTACACTAATATATTTGTTAGGGTGATAAAAAAAAAGGGTTGCAGTGTAAGTCATGGTCTGGGGAGCTTGGAAATGAGAACTGTACTGCTTTAGCATTGTGTCCACGTACATCCAAGTGGGGCAGTCAATAGGATGAGTTCAGAGGGATCTGTGGTCAGGAATTCAGGCTGTCATCACACAGGGAAAGAATTTACCACGATACAAATGCAGTGTCCCTTCCCTCTCTGTCTTTAGGATTCCAGGACGCTGCCAAGTGCAGGGTTCCTCGAGATCAAGCTGGCACCGTGTGCCAGGAGAGAGAGACTTTATGGGCTTGCCCAGTTTTCCTCCCCTCTCCACCACCCTGTATCCCCACAGCTTTCCCTCCCCCTTATTGCGCTGGACATTTGCAGCCTTGACAGGCTTTTTAGAGGGCTGAATGTTCAGTTATTGTCTGGCTTGCTGACAGTACTTTTTGAGAAACACAGGCAGAGGAGGGAACTGGTGAGTTTTAAACAATGTATAACTTGGCTGCCACTGAATAGAATTTCCCAGGACAAAGAAAGGGCGCTTTGCCCTCTTCTCTCTTCCAAATCACACACGGCTGCTGCAAACAATAGAGCTGGCAAAGTTTTTTAAGGATTACAAAGAGCTTTCATAATTAAAGACATACAGCAAGCTCCCCACAGAACTTATGGCTGTCCTAGCAGTAGGATGTACCCCGGACTGTTATAAAATCATGAGATATTTTACAGGTTGAGTTTGGTGCACTGAAAACAGAAACCTTCCAATTTCTCCCCCCACTGCAATGTTGTCTTTCATTAATTCATGCTCCAGAACACTATAATCTCCCTCTTTTAACAGGAACACTGCTGAGGCCCAGACCTCACTAATTTGAAGTGATGCATATTATGAACGCATAAAAATGAATGGACACAAAGTATGGTGAATTATATGCATTAAGGATGATGAATTTACAAATTAATGAACAATTAACAATAAAGCATTGATCAATAAAGCATTAACTCCCACTCATTTGCAGGAATTTGCAAAGTCCTACTGCAGTTCACAATAATATTGTTTGTCAAGGGGCATTTACAAAGCAAACAAAGGAAATATTTTACAATTAACACCAGTTAAATGCCTCACAAGACAAATTTATTTGACTGTAAGACTACACTGTGTAGCTGTGAACAGCTATGGAATTGCAATGCCTATAGGAATTTTTCTAAAAACACTTCTCCCCAGAATTTCCCCAATAATTTCCATTCTGTAGAACAGATTACTGGAAAAATGCGGTACAGATAAGGGCAGGACTATGGAATTAGAAATCCCACTAATTACTTACTGCTACAGATTAAACATATAACAGTCTAACTCAGAGATACTCCACTGGAATACTGGAATTCAGAAACCAGACATTAAGTAGCAAGGCTCCCTCCACAGAAGGGAGGCAAAACCTTAGAGCACAAATCAAAAAAAAAAATCCCCTTGGCAGTTTCATTTCAAGTCGCTAATTAAAAAGAGGGCTCCAAACTTCTGCTCCTCTGCGGAACACAAACAACTCCCTCTGTACCCAAACTGTAGATTGCTATCTTCACATCCATCCTGCCAAAAGGCTGTGGAGGAGCCAGCTCACAAAGCACACCAACCCAAACCCAGAGGCACAGCTGACAGAGCTTGAGCTCCAGGCCCTCATCCCACACACGTTTCCTCATTTAGTAGCCAACACCATCCTGGGGACCAAGGGCACCCAAATACCAACTGGTGAGGTTACACATCAGACCCTTTTTCCTCCTCTTTTCTTCCTGCACCTCACTGCTGTTTCAATACCACACCTTAGGGCTCCTTTCCCAGTGGCTGGGACCTGAATCCACTTCAGGGCTCAGAAAGAGACTGTGCTGGAGGACTCCATTCCTGGTAAATATATAGCCCACTAATACCTCCTCAGGAGAGGTAGCAGAGGGGCAGGCATTGATCTCTTCTCTGTGGTGACCAGTGACAGGACACAGGGAACGGCTGGAGCTGTGCCAGGGGAGGTTTAGGCTGGATCTCAGGAAAAGATTCCTCCCCCAGAGGGTGGTTGGGCACTGAACAGGCTCTCCAGGGCAGTGGTCACGGACACAAGGCTGACAGGAGTGTTTGGACAATGCCAAACAACGTCCCCTAAAGGGACAGGGTGGGATTGCTGGGGTGTCCTGGGCAGAACTTGATGATCCTTGTGGGTCTCTTCCAACACAGGCTGTTCCGTGATTCCACAAGAGGTTGACATAACCTAAAGCTCAGTGTTCAATATGACATAACTTTCCTAAAACTTTAATTAATGGTAGCTGTTAGCTGTGTTCCTCTTTTTTTTTTTTTTTTTTCTCCTTACGGATTTGTCAGTTTGATCTTTAAATCACCAAAGCTTTGAGTTTCTCTGAACTAGCTCTGATGAGCTCCAATAAACAAAGCTTGAGGGAGGTGAGGATTGGATGTCTGGGTTTTTAAATTTATGGTCCTTCTAAGATATGTTGGACTAACGAGAAGATACAGAGGAGATTAACAAAGACATTATGGCCTGAGAGTTACAGAGTTTTTTGTCTAAGGAAGAATGATAAGAGAACCGAAGAATGTGGATCCAATTAGACAGCAAAGGACAGAAGACCAAATAAATTAAGATAATTGTGTAACTTTGAACCAATTAACGTTATTTTCTTTGTTTGCTAAAATGTATAAATACGTGAAAAATCCTGCAAGGGACTTATATGGCTGGAATGATTCACTAGGTGTCTCTGGCCAGAATGAAGCAATGCCTGGCTCACCAACACTTAAAAGGTGTGTTGGAGGCTTTCTCTTCCCCCTCAAGATTTTTGGTGACACCAGAATACCTCCTTGGGAAAAACTGCTCATTTTTGGAGGAATCTTGTGCTTTCCAGCCACAGTGGGAACAAGGATTGGTGTATGCATGCACAGCACCCAACAGCACTACAGGAAAGGCTTTTAGCATCCCTGCAGTCGCCCTCACTCCAGTGTCATTTGACCAGCAGATGGAAGCAAAAGAACAGGCTACAAAATTTAGCTAAATCCTGCTGTTTCTGGGCTTCCTGGGGGAAGAATCATAGAATAACATAATGGTTTGGGCTGAAAGGGATCTTTAACGATCATGCAGTTCCAAACCCCTGCCATGGGCAAGGACACCTTCCACAATCCCAAGCTGCTCCAAGGCCCGTCCAGCCTGGCTCTGGACACTTCCAGGAATGGGGCTGATAGGGTGGAGGCGCAGCGGCGCAATACAGCCGTGACCGATGAAAACAGAGGTCGAGGAAGGGAGGAGCACGGACTGCCCGCTTTGGCTGTGCCTGGCGCTCCAGGACCACGAACAGAGGGGCTGTGGGGGGAAATCTGTGCCCGTCCCTGCCCATCACGGCCTGCACCGGCCCCGCCGCCATGACACCCCGCACCGCCCTGCGCATGCGCACTGCCGCTGCCATGGCAACGGCGACGCGCGGCCACCCGCCCTGCCGGCTCTCACCGCTTCTCTCGCCTGGTAGGTGGTTCTCAGGGCCTGGCAAGAGAGCTCCATGGCGGCGGGGAATGCCGGCGGGAACGCCGCCGGGAATGCCCCCGGGAATGCCCGGGCCCCAAACCCGCCGAGCCCCACGGGCGCCCCGGGGAACAGGCCCGCCCTGCCTCCCCGGCACAGCCAATCGAAACGCCGGAAAGTGAAAGACTGGCAGGAAAGGTGACTAATCAGAAGCGAAGCTCTGTGGGGGAAGGCGGGGCTAGCAGCGGTGGTGACCAATGGCCGCTGGGCTCGCCTCAGCGGCAGGGGGTGTGAGGGGAGCGGGGGCGATCGGTCTGAGGGGAAGGAGCGGAGCGGAAAGAAAGCAGGCCGGACCAACCCAAACCACCACAGAACACGACAAACCAACCCAAAACAAGCGAAACCAACCCAAAACATCCCCAAACATGACAAACCAACCCAAACCAAGTGAAACCAACCCAGCCAATCAAAAAAACTCCAGAACATGACAAACCAACCCAAACCAAGTGAAACCAACCCAAACCATGCCAAAATACACCAAAACAAGACAAACCATCCCAAGATATGCCAAATCAAGCCAAAGCAACCCAAAACAAGCCAAACCAGCCCAAAACACGACAAACCAACACCAAAACACGCCACAACGCGCAAACTAAGCCAAGCCAACCCAAAACAAGCAAAAGCAACACAAACGGAGCCAAACCAAGCCAAAACGAAGCCCCGAACATCGCAAGCCAAGCCAAACCAGCACAGCCCTGCCCACCTCGCTGTTAAATACACCAGGCTCACCTGACACAGACGAGATGTGTCCAACCAGACAAAGACTCCACTCGGTCCCTCACGTCAAGGATGCCGACAAGTGTTAAAATGGAGACTACCACTCTGAGGGAGTCCACAGGGCTGAGAGAAAGACCCTCTTTGGAGCACAACTTGGCTGCCTGGTTGCTGCAGCTTCCAGGGTTCAGGGTTTGATTTATTGGAGGGATTAGTTGTGCCTGTTGGATGCTGTCCGGCTTCAGTCCAGCTGGAGAAGAACCTATGATCCTGCAAGAGGCTGACAAAACCTAAAGCTCTGTCTCAAGACCTCTCCCAAAACTCATCTTTTATAAGAAATCCTGTGCTTTCCACTCACAGGAATTGGTATATGCGTGCCTTGCACCCAACAGCTTTGTGGAAAAGGCTTTTATCATCCCTATTCCCAAATCCAACAGCTACCCAGTTTCACCAGCTGTTCTTGGACAGCATAACTACCAGGTTCTCACACCCATGCAGTGCAACCTGGTCTAATGGAGAGTGTCCCTGCCCACTGCAGGGGGTTTGAAATGAGATCTTTAAGGTTCCTTCCAACCCAAACTGTTCTGGGATTCCATACCAATGCTTGCTTAGCATCTCATCCTCAAAAACATGTTTTGCGGACATCTAGACCTTCCTCCAAACACACTCCTTAGTACCACTGTCAGTAGCCCCTTATCCTTGTGGTACCACTCTATTCCCACTCAGGATGTTTCCCCTGCCTTTTTCTTAAACTCTTACATTCCAGTATAGGCCAAGACAGGCTTTGTGTTCCCTTGAGCTCCCTTCACTAAGTATCTCCCAGTGCACATACTTCTTACAATCCTTCCCTCCCTCCTTTCAGTACGCCTCAATCCCCAGGATTTCCTAATCAAAAACATGACTCTGGTGTATGTTCACAGCTCAGATGGTTGTGCTGCAAATGTAATGTACTTCCACCCATCTAATTAAATGTATCTCTTTTATTAATCTGTCCCATAAAACATGGAGATTTTTCAAAGTGGATCAGATTAATGTTCCTGCATCTAACTCGGGTTCCCTCCTACCAGAAATTTGCTTTTAATTTAGTTTCCCTTATCATGGTAGTAGAGTGGGTAATAAGTTTGGGTTTCCGTTATTGGTTGCTTCTGTTTTATGGCTCTGAAAGAAAGGTGAAGACAATTAAAGTTGGGATTCAAGCCATCCCAATTATGTTTCCAAGATCATTACTGTCGGGGGAATAGCCTCGGTTTGAGGCTGTGCTCCACTGGAGAGAGTTTTCCACCATGAGTGTTAAAGGAGTAGTGGTATCTTAATACAGGGATTTCTGTTGTTTTGATGGATAAAGAGAGAGATTCTTCAAATCCTCGGAACAAAACCTGAGGGTAATTTTCACAAGAACTGTCCATGGAGGCAAATGCCCACCTACAGTCAGTGAGGCTGTGTTCAAGACTGGGAAATCTAAGCACATGTTAATAGACATAATTAAATAAAAAATAATAATGTTCAAGTAAACAACGTTGTAGCAAAATTTAAATATTTCCCTGTTGACCTTATAATCAAATTATAGGTGTATCACCCTGGTACTTTAGGGTGGGCAAGCAAAATATGTATTTAATCTGTGCTTTGGCAGCTCTAGACCTCACACAAGAGGGTTGTAGGCACTGACCACCGCTTAAACATTTTTGCCATCCACTTTTATTGTCACCTTAAAGTAACATTGTTACCTTAAAATAAGTTACTATGGGACAGGAAAGATGATGGAGAAGCCTTCCAGCCAGTCACCCCAGACTCCCATCGCAGCCTGCAGTGCAGCTGGTTCAGAACCACGGGAGGAGTCTGAGGAGGTGTAATGTTGATAAGAGTAATTGCTGCAAGGCTCGGAACAGCTGTAGGCTGGTGGTTTTGATTTTTTTTTTAAAAGAATTTATTGATTTATTTTTAACTGCAGAGTTTGTGGATGGTTGGGAGGGTTTCTTTGGATGTTCAGATGTCTTTCGGTAGTTATCACAACTGTGGGAACAGACGGTGCTTGTGTTGACATACCATTCATACTGCTAGAAAGATTACTAGAAAAGGTTGAAAACAAACTAGTTTTTCCCTAGCAAGCCTCAGTTTAGGGGGCGGGATGCTTAGCACCTATAGGCTGCCTTCATGCTGGAATTAGAGCCTATTGGGAAAAAAAAATACAAAAAACTCCTGTGATATCCTGTCCGTTGGGATTATGGACTGACTGCCTTGGGGAAGGGTGGGTCTCCTGCTCCTTGGATGGCTGGTGCTAAGAAGAGGGCTAAGGCCTGCCCTGTAAAGTCAGAATGGGATCAAGGGAAGAGCCTGGAGAATGGTTCAGCAACAGGTCGCAAGAAGAGAGGGAGGAAAAAGGGGCACCAGAGGAGAAAGAGGCGGTATTGGAAAAGGCAGTACAAGAAGAAGCAGCACAACCTGGAAGAATGCCCAAAAGTTGATGTAGGTTTCTTAAAAGTTTGGTGGAAAGAGAAATGCTGGAATGGTTGAAATTTTGGTAAGATGGCCTGGTAACTGGGGAGCGTAAGCCTGGAGCTGATGTGTGATTGTGGAGTTTTGATAAAGCAGTAGGATTTTTGAAGAAGTAGAGGGAAAGGGAAGACTGATTCTTGTTACTGTAAATGCAGAAGAGGGAGATTTGAGAGAAATTTCAGTGTGGAGATAATGGAATGGGAGAGGATACAGCTGTGACCTATGCTTTTGTGCAGTAGGGACCTGGGAAGAAACTTGAGGAGGACCAAAAGTGTAGCTGTTTTGTGTGATGGTGGGTTTTTGTTTGTTTGTGTTGGGGGTTCTTGTTTGTTTGGTTATGGTTTTCTTGTTTTGTGTGTGGTTTTTGTTTGTTTTTTCTTGGTTTTTTGTTTGATTTGTTTTGTTTTGGTTTTGGTTTGCTGTTTTTTTGTTTTTGTTTTGTTTGGGGGTTTTTTGAGGATATGGCTCCAGAGATATGTGACAGAAAGGCTGTGAGGAAAAGGTGGAGGAAAAAAAAATGCAATGAAGGAACTCTGAGAAAAAAATTAGGATAAGCTACTATGTAAACTCTTATTATCTTATGTGAGGTGTTAAACTATATTGTTTGCTCTTATCCCAGCGGATATCGAGGATGAGATTAACGGGAAGACTGAAAGATGTGGTTATGAAGTGAGAGGTGAATGTTATATGAGAAAAGAAATGCCTGGCTCTGATGTAAGCTTGAACACTGTTGTCTTTCCAGAGTCCTTGCAGGAAGGAGCCTTTGAGGGTGTACAAAAAGGACAAGGAGAAAGCTTTAGTCTGGTTGTGCTTTAATGATCTCAGAGAGCCTAACCTACAGCTTGTATACCTTCAATCCCTTTAGTCTGGTGTTGAATTGCAGGGAAAAACAAGCGTTTGATGGACTTGGGAGTTGAACTTGTGCAGCAGCGTGGCAGATGGCATGCCTTATTAGCCTGTGAATTCTTGGTTTTACTAACAAAAGGGACTTGAAATGAATAAAGTCCTTATGTTTAAACCTTCAGGGAAACAGGTGTCCTAAGACCAAGCACAGAACCAGTTTATGCAGAGAAGGACTTGATACCTGTGCCTATGGTTAAAAACTTTAACACACCTAAGGGTTTATTTTGGAATAGCTGGCAGTAAGTAAAAAGGAAAGCCTGCCTCAGAAAGCTATTGCAAAATAACACTAGTAATGGTAATTATCGAGTTCCTGGTGTCCAGGTCTTGTAGCAGTATTAAGTGTCCTTAGCTGGTGTGTTTGGCAGAGATCAGTATCCTCGAGAAAAGCTCAGCTCTTTGTTCCCAAAATTGTCTGCCAGCATCTCCCCTAGAAGAGCAGTCTGGACCCTTGGCCCACTAGTTGCTGTTGTAGTCACTGCTTTGAATCCATCAATCATGCTAAAACAGCTGCCTTTTGATTAATATGACCAAATATGTCTTGCCTTTCAGACCTCCCTTCTCTTCCAGTGTCTCTTCATCTTCTTGTTGGGGTTGGTTTGGCTGCTTGCCTGTTGGTTGGCCGAGTCTTTGCTATTTTTTATTGCAATAAATTGGTTGTTTGGTTTAACGGCCCAGTTGCCAACGAAACTGAATATTGTGACTAGGTAATTATTGTGACTAGATAATGATCTCTGGCTGCTTTTGAAAACAATATTCTCAGCTGCACCTCGATGTTTATTTTTCTGTAAATGTCTCAACATTTCCCCTGCAGCGGGAAACCCATTATCCAGTTTTTGAAGCTTACTGATGGTGACATTTTCCCCTCATTTTTTATTAATAAAACATGCTGCACCGTCATTTTAACACAAATTAAGAGAGAGTGCTCTTGATTGGGTGGATAAACTGAGAAAGCTGTAAAATCATAACCTTCCCATTAATCCACTTCAATCTCCATGCCGGGTTATTTTTTATTTATTATTTCTGTGGTTTGCTCTTTTTCTTTTTCATTTTGTAATAGAACAATTCTGTTGAAGAGCTGAGTGTTAATCCTGGAGGGGAGGGAGCATGGCAGGTGAGTCCATTTCTAGGCTGCTCAGTACAACAAAGACTGGAGAGAGTCCAGTAAAGGGCACAGAGATGATTATACGGGTCTCCTCTGATGAGCAGAGGGTAACTGCAGGAGCTGCACCTGTTTAGTCTAGAAAACTGAGAGGGTATAATTAATTCCTATAAACATCCCAAAGGTGGGTGTCAGAGGATGGTGCCAGACTCTTTTCAGTGGTGCCCAGCGGCAGGACGTGGAGCAATGGCCGTAAACCACAAGACAGGGAGCTTCACCTCAACAGGAGGAATAACTTCTTTGTGTTGAGGGTGGCACAGCACTGGAACAGCTGCCCAGAGTGGGCGTGGAGTCTCCCTCTCTGGAGACATTCCAAACCCACCTGGATGCGCCCCTGTGCCACCTGCTCCAGGTGACCCTGCTTTGGCGGGCGGGAGAGTGTGGACTGGATGATCTCCCCTTCCAACCTTAACAATCCTGTGATCCCACCGGGATCACTGTCCACGGCCGCTGGAGTTCCCGCCGCCCCGCAAGGAGCCCCGCGGAGCCAGGGCGGGCACCGGCAGGCGTGTCTGTGCCACACCGGGCCGACTTCCCTCGAGGTTCCCGCTGCGTCTTGTGCCGCACCGGGCCTGTTTCCCTCCCCTCACGGTGGCCGCTGTGTTTGTGCCGCACCCGGCCGGTTTCCCCCTCAGGGTTCCCGGTGCCGCACCGGGCCGCTCTCCCCTCAGCGCCCCTCCTCTCCTTCCCGCCGGCCCGCCCTCCCCGTCACGTGACGGGGGCGCGCACCGGGTGCACGATGATGGTGGCGCCGGCGCCCGGCGGTGGCGGGTAGAAAATGGCGGATTTCGAGGAGCTGCGGGTGAGGGGAAAGCAGGGGGCCACAGGCGGCGGCGGCGGCGGCGGGTAGAAAATGGCGGATTTCGCGGAGCTGCGGGTGAGGGGCAAACAGAGGGCGAGAGGCGGCGGCGGGACAAGATGTCGGCGCGGGGCGGGGGGGGGGTATCCGCAGCTTCCCTGGGGAGGGACGGAGGGAGCGGCGGGGTCTGCCCGGGGGGACCCTCCCTGTCGGTGCCCGGTTCTCCATCTCCGCCGTGCGGGTTGTGCGGCTGCTGCCGCCGCCGGGGTTGTTCTCCCCGCGGCTCCCGACATTTTAGAGCCGCCTCGGCCCCGCCGTGCGGCCCCGGGGCTCGCATGGCGCCTGCCGGGAGGCGAAGGGAAGGCGATGAAAAACCCCCGGGTTGGTGAAAGTGCTGATAGTTATGGAATCTGTGGACTGCTTTCCCACCAGGCAGGCTGTGCCTGCGGAGCGTGGAGCCCCGGTGTTGGCTTTTCAGACCTGTTTTATTTCCAGTCCAATGCCTTCCGCGTTGCGCCGGTGGACCCCCTGTAGCAGATCTGTGTTGCGTTTGTGACCTTTCGTTTTTTAAGGTGTGTACACAGAAGTGCTGACTGCACAGTTTATATTTTTTCCTCCCGTCTCCTGAGCAACCCGCTCCGGGTATCTTTGTTCGGAAGGAGGAGGGTGTTCCTTCTGCAGCATCCACACCTGCAGAAGTGGAATTCTTCCTGGGACGCCCACGGGCACGCCAACCCCCTCTCCCCTTATCCCCCCCACCCAGGCTTTGCTACAGAAGGAGTAAAATTCGGTTGAATAGGAACTGCTCTGAGGAGCTGGGCTTTGGTGGAGAGGAAGGTCTGGGGGCTGAGCTGATGTTGGTGCGACCAGGAGCGGGAAATGTGCTGCAATCGCCAGAGAATTTCCTACGCCGAGGCTTCTTCCAGCACTAACACGGCTGGGGTGCAGCTGAGGAGCTCGCTCATAAAAATATAATGGGAAGAACTGGGTGTCTTTGTCTGAGGACAACAGCGCTCTGTCTCAGTTTTTCGGTTTAGGAATGGTTGGTTCATTTTTTCCTAAGTTAACCTTACATTGTTTGTTTTTTATTTTTCCCTTTAGACTTATTTGTGTTTACATGTTTTCTTGCTCAGTGTCCTCATTCATTCTCAGCCCTCATTCCGAGGTGTCTCAAAGGGTTTAGCTATCCCCCGAGTGTAAACTTTGTGGCAGACGTGACCCTTCTTCTTTTATCTCCTCTTCTTCACGCTTGAGTTGGAGCTGTGATCCATGTTTCCGCTGTGATGGATATCCATAAGTATTGATAGTCTCTTTCTGGGAATTAGATACCTAAATACCTTTGAAATTAATGGATAGTTAATAGCAACTCACCTAAGTTGCTTGGTAGAAATAGTACAGGAGGTATGGAGGGGAAAGGGAACTGGGTTTCAGGCTGGCTGCAGGGCTGCCCTTCATCGCTCGAAAGAAGAGGTGCCACTAGTTAAAAAAAAATAAAAATTGTCTGAAGACGTGTTTTTGATGTTCCCATTCATCTTATTTGTAAACTGGAGTACCTGTGGGATGAATCTGTTAGCCTGGAGCTTCTCTAAATGTTCAACATACGTTTGATAATAATTCATGGCCTGTTTTGGGAAAGCTCTAGGTATTTTTTTGGAAGAGAATGTAGCAGTTTGCCTCATGCCTGGAAGGCCTTAACTGCGCTTTTTTTTTCTTGAAGAGGATACATCAGATACACCTACGGCTTAATGCTTTGAAACAGTATTTCTGCTGATTAATCATGGTTGCTAAAGTGTAGTAATAAGAAACAAAAAAACCTGAGAAACTTCTTATGACCTTCAAGAATAAATTTCAGGGGTAAAAATGTTTCTGGAATGTAACAGTGCTTGAATTATCCAGTCTGATTTCCTTCTTTAGAGTTCTGTCAAACTACTCTTTGTGTTCACGGAGAAACATTAAAACTAAAATAGCTTTGGTCTTCTGTGTTAAAAAGGCTTTTTTTATTGGGCTGTGCAGCTGTAAAGAACTTCTCTTAAGAGAAAATTGATGGCATTTACACGACACAACTTGAATGTCTAATCTTAATTGAGTGATGTGAAAAGCATGTTAATAACTACGCTGCAGTCTTCTGCAATATTGCTGGAACCTCAAAAGAAAATAACTTGGTAGGGTTTGTTGGAAGCAATACCTGCCTTGCACTGTAATTATAAATGCTCCTACGTGTATGTTGTGTCTGTGAAACTGTGTTGATGGTGTCTGTAAAGGGAGTAATAAGGTAAAACATGTACAGCATCATAGAAATGTTTGGGTTGGAAGGGACCTTCAAAGGCCATCCAGTTCCACTCCCTCTGCCACAGGTACGGACACCTTCCACTAGCCCTGTCCAACCTGGCCTTGGACACTTCCAGGGATGGGGCAGCCACAGCTTCTCTGGGCAACCTGTGCCAGGGCCTCCCCACCCTCACAGCCAAGAATTCCTTCCCGATATCCAATCTAACTGTGCCCTCTGGCAGTGGGAAGCCATTCCCCCTTCTCCCAAGTCTTTCTCCAGCTGTCTTAGAGCCTGTTTAGACAGGAAGGAGGTCTAAGGTCTCCATGGAGCATCACCTGGCTGAGCAACATTCTCTACCCATCCTTTGTTTGTGCTTGGGATCGCCCCCACCCAGGTGCAGCACCTTGCACTTGGCCTTGTTGAACTTCATGAGGTTTGCACATTCCCACCTCTTTTATTTCAGATTTGTCAGGCACAATTCGTTGATCAGATGAGGCGTGTTTTCATTTACGTGGTTGTTGTTTCCTTAAAGTGAAGGTAAAAGTGGCTTTAGGGGGCAAATGTTGTAAAAGCCAGTTTTTAAATACTTACAGTAAACCTTTCCTTTGCAAGACTTATTTTAAAAACCTATCTAAGATTTTTGGATTGATGGACAAAACTGTGTATATTTTTTTATACTCCCAGGCACTGCTGATGTGGGTGTTAATTTTAAAATTTTGCTGACTGTGGTATTGAAGCCAGCCTGTGTCTTCTAATAAAATGAAATCCATTGTGTAGTGAGGTGCTAGTTTGTGGAATTTCCCTGTGAAATGTTAGCTGTTCTGAGGTGTGACTGACTGCACATTTCACCTTGATTAACTTGCAGGAATGCACAGAAGGCAGCAGGCAGGGTAATAGACAGTATTTTGCAATACATGCTGTTTCCTTAATCTGGGTAAGGGATTATTTTGCTCACTTGCATTCTGATTGTGGAATGCAGAATCATACTTACTGCCTGCATCTGAAATAAAGGAGCTGGAGTTGCTATCAAGCTTATGCAGCCATCTACAGAAGCATGCAGCATCAAGTTGTCAGTAAATTCATGAATATCAGTATTATCTTCTAACACAGTTTCTCTTTGATGTGTCATAACTATGAAGCTGTTATAGTGCTTCAAACCATTTTTTATGAATGCTGAAACACTTTTTCCTCACCCTGTTTGACTGGGACTAAGGAAAAGTAGAAGGGGAATGCCAGGTGGAAACTAAACTTCATCAGTTTGCAAACTCTGTGGAATTCTGTTTCCATCTCCTCTTGCGTTTTATTATTTTGTTGTTGAAAGAAGTTGCTGGGATGAAATTAAGGTGACATCTGCTGTTGGGCTCCTCAGAAGCTTGGGTGAGCCACTCAATGCCAAATGTGACTGTTTTCTCTGCCTGCTGTGTCTTTATAGACAGGGTGTTGGGAGAATACCTGTTTGAAGGTTGCTCTGTTAGCTCTGATCAAAATATCTGCTTAATGGAAGCATGAGTGTATCCAAACAGGCTGTCTGGAAATGTTGAAATTCAGTGTCTGAATTCATGTCTCCTCAACAATGAAGAAGGGGTGTGCCTGATGAGAGTAGTGCCATAGTATTTTAGATGGTTGTTTTGATCTGCTCAAATAATTTGGCCTTGAAAAGTCAGGTCCCGGCTTCTTATTCCTGCTGTCTTTTAATGGCACAAGAAATGGCCGTTCACAGTGGCTAGACACGACCCGGGAGTGCCCAGGGGGGCAGGAGGGCAATGTCCCCGGGGCTGTCCCAGCCGTGGTGTGGCAGCAGGGCCAGGGCAGTGCCCGTCCCTGTGCTGGCCCTGCTGAGGCACCTCCAGTGCTGGGGCAGTTCTGGGCCCTCAGACAGGAGAGACACTGAGGGGCTGGAGCGTGTGCAGGGAAGGGAACGGAGCTGGGGAAGGGGCTGGAGCAGCAGGAGCGGCTGAGGGAGCTGGGGGGGCTCATCCTGGAGAGAAGGAGGCTCAGGGGGGACCTTCTGGCTATGACAGGAGTAGGGAGCCAGGGGGGAATCGAGCTCTGCTCCCAGGGAACAAGAGACAGAATGAGAGGAAATGGCCTCAAGTTGCATTGGGAATGGTGATGATGTTTAGATTGGATATCAGGGAAAATTTTTGCATGGAAATGATTGTCCAGCGCTGGCACAGCTGCCCAGGGCAGTGGTGGAGTCCCCCTCCCTGGAGAGATATAAACACTGTGTAGATGTGGCACCTGGGGACATTGGTTAGTGTTGGCCTTGGCGGCGCTGAGGAATGATTGGATTCAATCTGAGGGATTTTCCCACCTTAGTGGTTCTGTGGTTCTAATAGAGTTCAGTTTTAATCTGACACAATTTGATGGTCTGTCTTATTGTCTAAACAATTTTCACAATGTTAAGGGGAGAATAGGGACCAAGCAGCCAGGGGCACAGGGGGAGTTTTGAGTTTTTGGGTGACTGCCTCCATGGTTAGAGCCACAGTTGTGTTATGACTTCAGTTGAGATCAGATCTATGTTAGAACACCTGGGTGTAAACTCTGTAGTAAGGATTAGGGAAGACAAAGTCAAAACACCATAGTTCAATCCTCAAAGTCTTCCACAATTAACCCTGATAACTGAGTGAATAGTATTATTTTCTTTCAACAGATCTTTGTGTCAGATGTTGCCAGAATGCAATACGAAAATGACAGGAATTTTTTTGTGACATTTGAAGAATCAATTTTGTTGACTAAACAGTTTGTGTCTTATTGTATGATGTATATACACTGTATACAGTATGATAGGATGTGGCTTTTAAAAAAATCTGCCTTGCTATGCCATCCTTCCAGCAGTGAAACCTGATGTGCCTATCTCTGTTCATGCCTGCCTTTAACACTCTGTCTAAAATAAAGCAAGTTTCACAACAAACTACGCAGAAATTAAAAAATAAAGTAAAGAAGTGATTAAAATGTGTTGGAAGGTGGGTCATAATACTGAGTCATCTGATTTTTTTGTTCTTGTTTGCTTGTTCCTTGAAGTGAGCCAGTTAGTTTGTGTTACAGAATGTGCTTCTGCCTGTGAGTTTAAGGTAGTACTGCATGAGTTGCATTAAGATTTTGTTACTATTGTTTCACTGTGGAAACAACTCTTTGAAATTACTAACACAACCAAACTGCGTCCTGGACACTTTGTTTCTTTATTTTAAACTGGCTGTGCTCTTTTGTTTTGTGAGGGTGGGGGTAGTACCTGAGGTACGATGATGGAAAGTAGATGCTTCATCGTGCTCCTTGTAAAGGCCTCCTTGGGGCACTCTTGGCTCAGCTATGCTTCTCTCTCTCTCTCCTCTCTAGAATATGGTATCAAGTTTTCGTGTTTCTGAACTGCAAGTGTTGCTGGGGTTTGCTGGACGTAACAAAAGTGGGCGCAAACATGACCTCCTGATGAGGGCTCTGCACTTAGTGAAGAGCGGCTGCAGCCCGGCAGTTCAGATCAAAATCCGAGAGCTCTACAGGCGTCGGTACCCAAGGACGATCGAGGGACTTTCAGATTTATCGGCAATAACACCTGCGGCTTTCAACCTGGACAGTAGTTCCTCTCCTGTGGAGCCTGATCTGGCTGTTTCTGGCATTCACTCACTCCCTTCTACTTCGGTCACACCTCAGTCTCCTTCTCCGCCTGTCAGGTCCGTGCTACTCCAAGAGACTAAGTCCCACTTTGAGATGCAGCAGGCATCCCCTCCAATCCCACCCGTTCATCCCGATGTCCAGCTGAAAAGCTTACCTTTCTACGATGTGCTTGATGTGCTCATAAAGCCCACGAGTCTAGGTAAGTGTTTACCACCTCTGCAGAGGGCTTAATTAATGAAGCAAGTGTTGCTTCTGACCGTACTGAGCCCAGACTCAAGTGGCTTTTTGCACCTGGGGAGAAGTGGGAAGTTTCTCATCCTTGCCCTCTCTGCACCACTTGTCCCCAAAAGTGCAAAGCTACACTTCACAGAAAATGGTGTTCTCCTTTGTAAATGTAGTATGATTAAAGGCCTTTGTCTTTTGAATATTAAATAATAGAGCCAGCTAGTTTAGTTGGAAGGTACCTACAATGTTGAAGAGTAACAAAAAAAACAGCTGAAGAGTAATAGTTAAGGGCATTGTCCAAATGCCTTTTAAACACTGACAGGCTTAAGGCATTGACCACCTCTCCAAAAAGCCTGTTTTGGTGTTTGATCACCCTCCTGATAAGTAAATGCTCCCTTGTCTGAACCTCCACTTTTTGACTGAAAGATTTTGGCCTGAAAACTCTGCATGTTACAGGTGAGGAACAGTTCTGCCGGGGTCAACGGGAAAAGGGTTTCAGAGTCTCAGTAGCATACAAGTTGCAACAGTGTAAAGAGAACAAGTTCATTTGTTTATTTTACCATTATCTTACTGCAACAATTCTGCAGGCTTTGACACCTGTCACTAAAAGAGATACTTTGTGCCTGGATGTTCTGTGTTGAGCTAAGAGTGGTGCAACTTTCTTAACCTACAGATTCTTGCCATCCTGGATGTTATAATGTGGAGTGGACCTTTGTCTTCCAAATAACCTGAAATCCAGTTTGTATTCCTCAAGTGCCTCAGTCTTCTATATTTAATTATTTGAAACTACATTTTCTGTCTTGAAATTCAAGGTGGCTTACCTTAAATGGCAACAAAAAGGTTACCTAACTATGTAGTAATATTGCAAGCTGTTTGCATCCTATTAAACATTTTATTTTTTTTTTAACGTATCGTATATTCTTTTAGTCTGTGACTTGTATTCATTGGTCATACTCCAGTACCTAAAGCAGAAAACTTTACTAACAAATATTATTTATAGTGCCTGTTGTCACTTCTCTGTGTGTGTTGTGACACCCTTTAGAGGAGGGTTTAATATCGACCTGGATATTGGTGCAATAGCTGTTTTGGTGTTGGACAGCTCTGGCTTGTGCTGTCGCTACCTTTGCAGAGATAACCTGTCAGTGCCACAGTGTCCTGGATGAGCAAGGGAATCAGATATGAGGAGTAACTGATATGCAAATAATGGGCCCTTCAGATGTTGCAGGGATATTGTAACATTGGCTGAGAATCACTCTAATCATGGACTCATGTGCAAATTTGGCATCCTTTCTTTAATATTTTTTTATTTATGTGGATAGCTTATAGTCCTGGTTAGTAGACCTTGTTAACTGGGACATAGAACAAACAGTTTTTGGGTGTTTGGGAATTAAGGATTCAGATAACAGGTGGGTCGGAGAGTTCGGTCTACTTCACTGCAGCTCTTTTAAAAGGGATGAGTGTAGGTGTTGTTTTGCACTAACTTGAGAGCACAAGTGTAGGTGTGTTTTTTTTTTTTAACCCACACTTAATTAAATAACAGAATATTTCTATGGTCCTTTTTACATGTGCTCAAGTATTATTTTAAACTGTCAAATGCTTTCTGTGGTGTGTATGTGCATATGTGCACAATGTAGCTGTTCGTAACTGTTTGAAGAACTTGCTGTGTGTTTTCTCCGCCTGGGCTCTATTTCACATTTGTCGTCTTTTTTGTGTGTTATTTCTGGGCATAAAGATATTATCTGCTCAATATTGCAGTGTCCAAGGCAGTCCAGCTCTTACAAGTATGCCTGGTTTAATTGTGCTATTTTTGCATTTGTCCTTCTTGCCGCTTATTTTAAATTGGACATGTGTAGTCTGCCTTTATTTCAGGTCAAGATTTCTAAGTTTTCAAGTTGAAAGAAAGTAGAAAAATAACATGCGCATACTATTGACCTTTAGTACTAAAATCTTGCTGCTTCCCATGACTGACAGACAAGTTGGATCCTGATGTTAAAGATGTAGGCTTGTTTTTTGTTTGTGTTTGGGTTTTTGTTTATTTGGGGTTTTTGTTTGTTTTTGTTTTGTTTTTTGTTTTAAAAATCAGATGCTACTGATGGGTAATTCCAGACAGGAAGTCTAGCTGGCTTCTCTGGCACTAGGGGTTGTGGTCTCTCCCTCCCTCCCCAAAGGTTTAGTTACCTTTAGCTGTTTCTGAATTTTCCAGCTGCCCACTGGTAACTTCTGGTGCACGTTCTCTTCCTGTAGTACATTACAGGAGTTGTCAGTATCTCTGTGGTCCTCCTTTTGTCAGGTATCCAGTGTAATATTTTGTTGTGTGTTTGTCTGAACCTTTCTTCTTTGGGAGAGAGGATTGTAACAGTTTGCCAAGCTGCTTTAGTATAGAAGTGTAACATGATTTTAAGCCATCTGAGTGTAGTTGAATGAATGATTTGTTCCATTGCTTTCCTTGTGACAGTTACGTGCAATTCAACCACAATTTGAGTGTATATTCAGTGACTTATGCCTCATTCCAGGAAAAACTCAGTTGCAGATCCTGCTTTACTCAGTGACTTTAATCACCATGGTTCAACCTCTTTTTTGTCTCTCTTTTTCTAGTACAGAGCAGTATTCAGCGGTTCCAAGAGAAGTTTTTTATCTTTGCTTTAACACCTCAGCAAGTCAGAGAAATCTGTATTTCCAGGTAAGAAATGGGAGTGTGGCATAATGTAAGTACACTTCTGCAAAATTTCAGGAGAAAGTGTGGGGTTTTTCATTCATTTTGTTCGTCACATGCTCTGTAGATGCAGAGTGATGATCCTCACTGAAGTTACGCTGAGTTTATCTGTCATGTTTTCTTCAGGAACTAGTGTGCATAGAATTTGTGTGCATTCAGGGTAAATCCTACCCCATTAAAGAGTTAACATTTACTGATTTTTAAGTAATTGACACTGTTTAGAGAGGTGGAAAGCTTCTCTTCCCTGCATGTTTCCTGTCTGTGGGAACGGAAGGCTGCTTTTATTGTTTGTTCCAGTGTTCATGTTGTTGCAAGAAACCAAAATAATTCATAGGTGCTTTTTGCTCTCTGGAAGCATCAAACTTTATTGGTACTATAAACTCTTGCTAGAGGATGCTGATCCTGAAGTCCTGCATAACTTGGCAGTAGCTAAACAGAAGTGTTGGTTGTAAGACTTGGTCACAGCTCAATAAAAAAAAAAATAAGAGCAAAGTTTAGTAATGCTGGGGCAGGTGTGCCAGTTCTGTTTGTGTATGATTGGAATATGAGTCCTGCTGTCTTAATGGGTACTTCTCTTTTTCTCTTCTCTTTGTCACAGGGACTTCTTGCCCGGAGGCAGGAGAGACTACACAGTCCAAGTTCAGCTAAGGTACCATTTCCGTAGCGTTCTCTTGAAACTTCTTAATTGGCTAATGTAACATAAGTCTGGTATTTGTGGGGACACTTGAAAATTATGCTTTCTCTTTTCTGTGGACACAGGTTGTGCCTAGCAGAGACAAGCTGCCCTCAAGAAGATAATTATCCTAATAGTTTGTGTATTAAAGTAAATGGGAAGCTGTTTCCATTGCCAGTAAGTGTTTGTACTCATCTGGGGGGGTGGTGTTTTTCTGTAATGTTAGCTTTCTAAAATAGTCAGGCTGTTAGTTAGCACTGAAATTCTTCTCATGTTAGGCATGTGGTTTGTACATCTGCTGTGTGAGATAGCCATTACTGCTATTAATCATGTTACAGCCACTGCACGGACTAACTGTGCTTTAGCTGCCTATAGCAAACCTCTTCTGTTACAGTTAATGTAACAGAATATGTCAGAAACAAACCAGTGTCTGCATGGAGAATCCTCCTCATAAGTCCTTAGACTGAGTTTATTTGAGGGTCGTAGTTCTTGCTCTGGGGGCAGTCTGAATTTGTGACAGGCTTAAGTTCTTCCTTGTCACGAGGGAATGGCATCATCTTCTTGTGTGTTGCTTGTGCATTGCCCTGCATCTGCTCTGGGTAGAGGAGAGTTCATTGTGGGGGTGAAGAACAGTCACTTTTTTAGGGTTTCTAGCATTTGCTGATACTGGGACAGAACAGTGTTGGCAGTCACACTTCACTGGTGTCTGATGTTGCAGTACAGGGGCAGGGTCACCTGCTTGGATACACGTAGAGAGGGAAAAGCACTCTCATTCTCGAAATACCTCTGGAATAGGTTTCTCTGTTCAAGAGAACAGGGAGAAACCCTTACACAACCCATTCAGAAACAGTTCTGGAAACTATAGAAGATAGAAAAAGTCATAGTACAGAGATTTTTTTCAGCAGTGGGTGCTGGGTGGGGGAGAAAGGGTGAAACTTCTTTTTCAGAAGGCTTTTAACCACCTTGGTGTGCCAGCTGTGTTGTCCTGTACCCTCCCTCCCTTATGCAGCCATGACTTTTTTTTTTTTGTGCCTCTATGCAGCTTAAATGAGACTCTTCAGCTTCTCTTCCTCCTACTTCTGTCTTCAGGGTATAAGAGGGTTTCTTTTGTATGTTTTCTGGTCAGTTAGGGGTGGCACTTTTTGCAAGTGCCACTTACATTCTCTCTGATGACCTTGAGCATTTTCTCCTTTCTTTGGCAGATTCTTTTAATTTCTTACAGCAACCAACCAAAAAGAATTGGGTCTGTTGTCATCTTGTGGACATCAGTATCTTGTTAATACAGGTTAAAGTTTTTATAGGAGTTAATATAGTTTACACCCTACTGTGCTGTGTTGTGCTCTCCATTTTGTGAGTAACTTGTCACAGTCATGGCAGAAACTGTTTGTAGTCTTGGATTATTGCTTTGCTTTAGATCTAAATCCTGCAGATTCTTCCTGCGTGTCATAAGATGATTCTTTCATCTCTTTAGCAGAACTTTAGGTGAGAAAGTGAATAAAACACTGTTGTCTTGGCAACTTCCTTTCCCCTCCCCCCTCACTATGAGCTGAATGACAAATACAGTCTCAGTCTGAGTGCTTCTGCAGACATTTTTTAGTTGATTTGTTCACTGTCTGCATCCTCTGATGCAGAGGTTCCTTTCTGTTTCGGGAAGTGTAAGATAACCTCTTTCCCTCAAAGACCAGCATTGTCTCTCTCAGTAGTGTTGGTGTTAGGTAATTAATGAGTGATACCAGTCTCTGGTGCCAGTTTGCACAGTTCATAAGTGAGCACTGTCCTGTCTTTCCCTGGTATGGCAGCTCTCTCTGTAAGTTATTCTTGGTCATCTCCTTGGCTGCAGTCCTCACCAGAAGCTTCATGGAAATGCTGCCAGCGTGCCAGTGCTGTTTCAGGTTGTGCCTGGTTATGTTAACACTGTGTTTCCTTGTATTCCTGCATCTGTGTCCTCCTCTTAGCGTTGGTTCTGAATTAAAAGGAACAAATGTAGAGCTCGCCATTCTGGTAACAAGGATTTGATACTTGCTGCACTGCAGCAGGGCTTCTCCTGTTGACTTTTCCTGTAGGGAAGTCAAAAGGTAATTTGATTTTTGTCTCAGGGGGTCTCCATGGACCACTGCAGGTCCCTTTCAAAGGCCAAATATGCCAGGGCAGGTTGGAAATAGCCAGATAGAAGAGCAGTTTTCTTTCTGTAGATAAATTTCCTGGCTATAGCAGATGATACCTGCTTTCAATAATATGGTTCTTGAAAGAAATGTAGAAGACGTAAGGTCCAAATAATGTTGGCAGTTCCTTGCCACTGGAGTTGGCAGCCTGACTAAACAGGCCATTCTGGTTGTGAGAGGCAAGCAGAGTGCTCTCAACTCTTGGAGGATAGGAAGGGAAGGTTTCAAATTTGTTGTAGGAGTATTAGGGTGAATCTGTTCTCAAGAAAGAAGTCTGGAAGAAAACCTCAACAAAAGCTTCACTGAAATGAGTCACGTGCACTGCAGAGGCTGTCTCTAAAAAGGGAAAAAGATTGGGAAATGTAAGAGAATTTGCATTCTTCCTCTTCTGAAAGCAGGACAACCTCACTGTAGGTTGGAGGCAGCAGGGTTATTTTGACTGATATGGTATGGGTGGAAATACCCTCCTAAATATTGCAAGAATGGTGTATTCATCCACATAAGCTCATTAGTAGAGAAAGGTCTGCTACAGCAAAGCTGTAGGGATATATAGTCTATAAATGGCTGCAGCTGTTTTGTCTGTTAAAGAAATGGCAAATTGTTCCATCTTTTAAATGTGAAATTGTCAGCAATCCCCATGAGTCTGCTGTCTCTGTGTTCTGGGGTAAAGCACAAATGAGGTTCCTGGTCACTCATCTGTGGTGAGCACCACTAAAGGCAGTGATTATCCTATGGCATGCTGGTCTAGTGGGTGGAAGAGGCTGTTTTTATCACTTTCTTTATTATTAGTGTTTTTATTTTCAGACTTACCATCTTTCAGAGTGACTCCTTTTCCCAAGCACTAGGCTGTGAATGCATGAGTTTCTCTGGGTAAAGAAACACACGGTTTTTTCCAGCATGTTCTTTCTGGGAGAGTTTCTTGTGTGAAACAACACTGTCTTGAACTAAATGAAATCTGTCAGTCAGTTCTGTGCAAGACAGAGCTGCAGTCTCTTGTTGGCATCCTTCAGGTGCAGGATGAGTTTGAGGTGAGTGACTGAAGGCTGTCTGTGAGCTCAGAGCAGAGATCCTCAGAGCTTCTGTTGCAGACTGGCTTGTTTTCATCGTGACAGATGCAGGCTGAGAGGAATAAGCTGCAGGCTGATTGCATGCTGAGGAAGTTGGAATGAGATGGTCTCTAAGGTCCCTTCCAACCCAAACCACTCTGTGATTCTGTGATCTCTTAAACACAGCTGATATTCCATGTACAGTCCTTCGGGGGCCTTGGCAGAGGACAGGTGACACTTGTTGCTAATGGGGCCAAGTGTAGTTCATGCAAGGCAAAGCAGATACCACGGAGATGTGGGAGTCTTGGAACAAGACTTTGTTTCTTAAATAGAATCAGTGAAGTGTTTTCTCTGTCTGAAACACTGAGTTGACTCTTCATGTCGTGCTGTGTTTGTCACTAAGGCTGTGTGCTTGTGGTGTTCCGCTCTCTCCCACTGGGGTACAGGGCCAAAAGGATTGAAGCATCAATAAAACCTTTTCCTCTTCCAGTGAACTTACCTGCTCCCAAACTGTATTCTCTTCCACCTTTTCAGCACTTCTGTAAAACCCTCTTAAAACAAAGAATGTCTTATAATTGTGCTTAACGTACAGTGTTAGACTGCCAAAGACTGATATTTCTCAGAATAAATGTTGGATTTGGCCTCCAGCCTACAGGGCCTCTAGGTTTACTTGCTTCCCATAGATCTGTTTGAAACAAGTCTGTGTCAGCAGACTTGGTAACACATTAATTGTCCTTTCTTCCCACAGGGATATGCTCCACCACCAAAAAATGGAATTGAACAGAAGCGACCTGGCCGTCCCTTGAATATCACATCTCTAGTTAGGCTGTCATCAGCAGTGCCAAACCAGATTTCCATTTCCTGGGCTTCTGAAATTGGAAAGGTAATCTTCATGTTCTGTAGGATGTGGGAAGTTGTCTAAATAACCTCTTGTGGCATCCCTGTCCCCCTGCTGCCTGATGTGGCTGGCAAGGCACACACCAGCAAGTGTTTAGTGTTAGGTGGCTGAACTCACCGTCAGTGCCAGGAAACAAAGTTTGCTCTAAAGTTGTGGTGGTTTTCAGTAACGTGTATAAGATTCACATACAGATAAAAAGAATTCCTTATGGGATTCACATTAGAAACCTTCCTTTTAGGGTTTGTCTGAAATGCATGTCAAAAATAGCAAACCCTTTTTGTGTAAATAGTAAATTCCCCTGTGCGTTTATTAAGGAAAGAAAGGGAGAGTGCAAGGAATTTCTGACTTCATCCTAGGTTTAAATAACTCTTGCAGCACCCTTTCAGCTCTTGGCAAATGAAAAACTACTTACTCCTTTATCTGTGACTGGTTGTGTAAATTCTGGATTCAGTTACCAAAGTACTTTGCTATTTAAGTTGTTCTCCAAAATCAAATTCTATGGACTAAAGGCACCACATGTTTCAAAGTGAGACTCCAGTGTAAGCTTTCATATTAAAATTTTAAAAATAAATTGCAGGGAAAACTAATGTTCAAAAAATAAATGAAGGGCAATGCTGACATCAAAGGGTGATTTTTCTAAATTAGAGATGGAGGGAAAGATCTAAGTTGTTGCTTTCCAGTCAAAGCACAGAATCTTTAAATGATTCCAATGCTGTGTGTGGTCTTGGCTCTCCTGCTGACTCCTGCTTTCTTTCCTCCCTGTATTGCCAAAGCATATTCTTATGGAAGCAGATGAGTTGGAATGCTTGGACATCCTCCCTCTTGCCCTGAGAGGTGAAGTGAGTTCTTTGGCTTCAAGTTGGTGCCAGAACTCGCGTAGCAGCCGTTGCTTTTCATCCTCAAAGTGAGACCCTGGGGGGCAGCATGGGGTGTCAGCAGCTTCTGTGGTGTTGGCATGGGCTGGGCTGATAGTGAAGGGCTGCTGAGCAAAAGGGGCATAAACCCCTCAGAGCTGGGCAGACTGGAGCCTGTAGCATCCTCTCTGTAGGTAACAGATGGTCGTTCTTTAACAAAACAAACAAGCAAACAAAAATCCTTGTTTCTTAGTGGCTTCACGTGCAATCCAATCAATTTATCTGTATGCCTAGGTAAGAGCTGTTTTTCCTGGAGGTGGTAAAGGAAGAGCAAGGCTGTAGGTGTTGTCTACAGGGTGCAGTAGTGCAGTACCCAGGCAGTGTAGGAGCCAGAGGAAGGTGGCTGGCAGAGAGTGGAAATAAAAGGTCATGGATTGTGCTCATTATACAGATGAAACCATTATTATCCTGCAGCAGCGGGGCTTGCAGACTTTTCATTAGTGACCTCAAAGAGAGGGAGTGAGCACTGAACAAAAGAAGCTGGCAAGGGGTGTGAGTTAGGGAGGAGTAGGAAATGCCGAGGAGCGGGGCCAGGCTCAGCGGAGTGAACACGGTGTAACAAGGCTGGGCTTAGAAGAGCAGAACAAGCTAAAGAAAAGGTACAAAGGAACTAAGGCAATTCTGTGCCATCTGAAGGTGTGGTGTTTGCACCATAAAGACCTTTTGTCTTCTGTCATGTGATCCTTTGAACTCCCCACTGACGGGAAGGATTTAGGAGACAAATATAAGAAGTTCTTAAAGACTGTGTGTATGACATTTTAATTGTTCTTTTCAAGAAAAGAGCCAAGGTTGTCTCTTGGTTGTGGAATTATTTTTCTTAGTTGTCATAACTAAAGTAAGACCATTGAATTTGATTGCCCGGAGAATTCTGGCGTAGTGTTGGTCTTCCACAAAATTGAAGTTGTCTGTCAATGTTTTTAATAATAATTAAGAAAAAAGTCAGGTTTTTGTTTTTACTGTATGCTACAGCTAGTGTAAATAGTGATCTGTTGACACAGTGGAAGTAGTGTATGAAATCAACATTTAACCTTTAATCACTCTCTTTGTAGAGTTACTCCATGTCTGTGTATCTTGTCCGTCAGCTCACGTCAGCTATGCTTTTGCAGAGGTTAAAGCTGAAAGGTATCAGAAACCCCGACCATTCCAGAGCACTAAGTAAGTCTCATTAACTTGCCTGTCTATACTTTTGGTGGGTGGTTGGTGTCTCTCTAAAGCTAAAAGTGGTAGTACAGAAGGGATTTGTAGCATTTTGAGATGAAAGTCCGTGCCCAGGGTGTCACAGGTTCCCTTTGCTGTTACTGAGCCATCACACTTTATTTTAAGTGAGTGTCCCTTGTGCTGGTAGGAAGCATACCTAGAGATCCCATCTGAAATGTCCTTTATGGTAATGCCATGGGCACCCCTTACTGTGCTGGGCTGTGAGGTGCAGGTAAATATCCTAAATTCTCTTCACTCCCACCTTACTCATTGATAATAGCTTTATTTATCTCTTCACATGTTGGGTTGAGTTTGCTCAACTAACCATGTGGCTGTTTAGTGCATCTGCAGTCAAACAACATCAGAGAATGTTGTGATGCAGTTTGCCAGTCACTGATGAGTAGTGAAGCTGTTGTTTGATATTGCTATGAACTAGTCTCCTAAATGCTTATTTTTTTTAGAGGGCTGGAGAAAAGTACATGTACCAGTGAATCAAGATTAGCATTTGAAATAATGATGTCTGTGTATAACTTCTTACTTTATTTTAATAGTTAAAGAAAAGCTAACTGCAGATCCAGATAGTGAGATTGCCACAACCAGTCTGCGGGTATCTCTGATGTGTCCTGTAAGTATGGCTGGAAATTTACAGGTACAGATTTGTATTTTCATCTGCAGTGCAGAATTGGGCTGCTTTTCAGCAACCCTGCTTTAGAAACCTCACCGGCTTTATGTTTTATATTAATGAGCCAATATAAAGTAGTGGGGAGAAGGGTGCATGTAAAGCACTTGGCTGTAGCAGCAGTCACCCAGCTGTGGTTAGAACTGTGAATGCCTCAGCTGTGATGCACTGAGGCAAATTGCTGCTTGTGTGTGTACAGTGCTGTCTGTAGAGGGAGTAATCTTGTACATTGAGGTGTTGAGGCTAATGGGGCAGGCTTATTTATAATGAAAAGATACGGTAAAAATAAGTAAAATCTTGTACCTCCTCATCTTGGTGGCTTTGCTTATATACTGCAGCTGCTACAGCAAACGAAAAGTTGATCACCTTATGACAAGGTAATGTTGCCTTGGGGTTTCTCTTCCCAGGCAGAAATTGATCATTCTGAGTCCTACTAGTATGTGGAGCTCAGGAAAACCTCTGAATCCTTCAGTTAAAAGAAAATTGTGAAATCGGGTGGTTCAGCAGGTAGTTTATTAAATATAGGATCCTAGAAATAACATTGTTGCAGGTCCACTAGAAACATTCCTGACTGTTTGCAGCTTTGTGAAGCCTTTGAGTATGGATTAATGGTTCCTTTAGGAGCATTGTACATCCTGTGAGGGGGTGGATTTGTTGGCAGCACCCTTAGCCCAGGGCGCCTCTGTAGGAGCAGAGAGAACTGTTTCACCCAGTGCCTCTGGATTCATTGTTAGCCATCCAGGCCTGCTTCTGTCTTCTGTGTTGACACTCTTTTAAATGCATCTTCTGCAGCTGGGAAAAATGAGACTGACAATCCCCTGCCGGGCTGTGACTTGCACACACCTGCAATGTTTTGATGCTGCTCTTTATCTTCAAATGAATGAAAAGAAGCCTACCTGGATCTGCCCTGTCTGTGACAAAAAGGCAGCTTACGAGAGCCTAATACTAGATGGGTAAGAGACTGGGTTTGCTGATTACAGTTACTTAAAAGTTTTCATTACGTACTTGACAGCTACTTTTGTTCTTGAGGCTTAGCCATTTCATACTACTTTTTGACAAGATACTTTAGACTGGGAGGATCTGCTATACTCTGTTAGTTTCTCCTCTCATGTAAAGAACTGTGTGAGTTATCACCTAGCTGCATCACGAGACTCTAGAACCTCAGTGTATTTCCTCTGGAGAAATCCAAATGTGACATATAGGGATAGGCCTTCCGTTCACTTGTCCCTGTCTCTGAAAGGTGTTTAACTCATAAAAAATTGTCAAACTTGGTTCAAAAGGTGATGATTTCCACTTTTGTGTTAAGATCTGTGCATTGCAGTAATCTTGGAGTGAAATATGGATAGATTCGGATAATCTTTTCTGATAATCTGCAAAGGCTGTAATTACAGGCCTTCAGGTAAGAGGAACTAAGGAGAGAGTAGATGCAGTGTGGAAGAGTGGGTGGAAGATGATCATAACTATCTTTTCTATTGTGTCTCCTTTTCACTTAGAAGAAAAATTTCACTTGGAGTCAAAAGGGAAAATTTATTTTTCAGGCTCTTTATGGAAATCCTTAATGAATGTTCAGATGTGGATGAGATCAAATTCCAAGAAGATGGCTCCTGGTGCCCCATGAGGCCAAAGAAAGAAGCTGTGAAAGTCTCAAGTTCTCAGTGCACCAAAATAGAAAGTATGTACATCTGGGTACTGATTGCAAACCAGCAAAAAGTCTTGGAGACTTAGTTGTAGCTTGGATAATGTATGTGGATGTTGGTGTTTGTTTTGTAGGGGGCTTAGTACTTCTGACTGTCTTGTAATTTGAACTAAGAAAGAAAGAGTGCAATTGTGGGCTTTGTCTTTGCTTTTTATAATAGCAGTTAAGAAAATGAAAAGGTTGCTTTTGCACCCTTAAACTGATAAGTGAAGACAAAAGTTTGTGCTTTAATATCCTCAGTGGAACACATAATTAGTCATGGAACAGTCACTGGGCCGTAACGTTCTCTGTAGAGGCCAGGAAGGTGATCTATAAAGCAGGATCTGAGTTCCTGGTTCTGTTGCAAATAGAAACTGCTGATGTCACCAGCCTTTAGAGAACAGTGCTTTATTTTCTTCTTCAGGTTCCAGTGTTGTTAGCAAACCCTGTTCTGTGACAGTGGCCAGTGAGGCTAGCAAGAAGAAAGTTGACATTATCGACCTGACAACAGAAAGCTCTTCTGATGAAGAGGAAGATCCTCCTGTCAAAAGGAAGTGCATATACATGTCTGAAATACATGGGAGCCCAACCAAAGGGTTTGTTAATTTTAAAATTAGTTGTTACTCTGTAATGTCTCAGATAAACTGATCTGTGGAGAAGTGGACTTGGGATCCAGCTCCACACTTCCAGAGGAGAATGTCTAGGCCTCTCCTTGCAGAAGGTTGTATTGATACGGTAAATTTGTACAGGCAAAACACTATTAAATAGTCTTACACCTCACAAAAGACTTGCACTGACTATTGCTGTGTTTGCAGGGATGTTTCTCCATAGAAAAGGAAAGCTGACTAATCTAATGGGGAGTGTTCTCATGAGAAAGTAGATTATGCCATGTGGAGGAGTTTTGTGCGTTCTTGTTAAGTTAGTGTCATCCTAAAGTGTGATCCCTTATCTTGCTGTTTGTTATACCCTTTATCCAATCTGCTCTGATGCCCAGGGAGCGAGGCTGCATGGTGTTTCATCCAAGCACTTTGCTGTTTCTAATCGAGACAACCTTTTCCTCTGCCTCTGAGATAAGCTCTGGAATGTCTTGAACACTCTTGTTGGCCATGGTTATCAGTCCTGCACCTTGCTTGGCACAGCAAACAACTTCCCAAATCCTCTGTCAACTGCTCCATCGTTATAGTCAGGCCTGACTTCGGTGCCAGGCTTGACTTGACTGCTGTGCCACTTTATCTCTGTCCTGGTTTGTGCACCTCGGCTCAGGTACTGTTTGTGGCTTCCATAATGCTCTTGCTCATGGCCTGTGGGGCACTGGAGACCTGCAGGGAGTGAGGGGCACTGGTCAGGCTCGCCAGCACTCGCTGCTCCAAGCTCAGCTTTCAGTAATGGCTCATCAGTCAGTGTTGCTGCATGTGTGTCTGTGTCTTGTACTAAAATAATAGTAAATAAACCCAGACTCCGTCTGTTTCACCAGAGGAATCGAGCAGGTGCTCTGTGTCTCTAGTCCACAAGAAGGTATGTGTGGTCTTAGGCGAGCAGAGTTGGTCATCTTCAACCACTTTCAGCAGCAATACTGAAATGCTGTTGCTTTTTTGTGAGGACTGTGGAGGAATCCTTCTGCAAGAGACTCTATTTCTTATTTTTACAAGAAAAAATAGCCACAAATGCATCTCCTAACGAAGTTTCAGAAGGCACCAAGACTTTCTTCCATGCTTCTGTGTTTGAGATGGCTACCTGCAACCGTAATTGTAGGAGGACCAAATTTTCTTGTCTCTCTGTGACCCTTGTGTTTTCCTTACTTTTTGGGTATGGATTTGGCATTTTCATTCTTCAAATCCAAGTCAAAGCCAGGCTTTTGGACAACAGCTTATCTCCTGTAAACAGTGTTATCTGCTAGTTTTGGCAAAACTGTGGGGTGTTGATGAAATGGAGAGGTGCTTGAGAAGGGAGGGTCTGAAATCCAAGTTTCTGACACCAGAAAGTAGCTTGAAGACGGGAGTCTGGGGAGGAAGACATGAGTGGGTAACACTCATGGCTGGAGAGAGTGATGTGGAGCAGCTGGGTACAGAATTCTGGGTGTTTCCACCCTGACTTAGAGTTTATGAACTATTTTATTCATGTGGCCGGTGCCTGAGCACCTGTGGTGGTGTCTGTAACAGTGTTGAGAAGAGGTCGGGCAGCAGGAGGCAAGGCAGTAAGGCTGGAGCTGGCTGCATCCTCCTGGACAGCTAAACTTAGCTTGGGGTGAGGCTTTGAGTAAAGATGGGCTTATATTTTAATTGCCACATGTGTAGTCTGTGCTCCAGGGGCTGGATAATGGTCAGGCATGCCCTTGGCATGAGGAGCAGTTCTGAGGAGGAATCAAACTGAGCACTCCTGACTGTGGCCACCTGCGCATCCCTCTGGGCGTGCTGACAGACACCCATTTGTGTCTCTGTCACCAATGACTCCAGCACCGTACTTTTGTTTTAATGCCAACTTGCTGTTATGCCACAGTTGCTGTTGAGAGCCAAGATGCGGTCATGTTATTATGAAGACTGTTATGAAAGAGGAAATTAGGGTGGATACTTTGTAGTGAGTAGCCACGCCGGGGTCGTGTTGTAACCCGGCGACTTGTGAATGAGAGTGCACAGCAGTGCCCGCTTTCCCTTCTGCAGCTAACGGCCAGGTTGTTTGTAATTTCCCCTGCTGTCTGAAACAGGGTTCTCATGTACCAGCCATCCACTGCCAGAGTGCCCAGCGTGACGACTGTCGATGCTGCTGCTATTCCTCCTTCACTAACAGAGTACCCAGTACCATTCCATCACCCACCAATATCCAGTATTTCATCAGACTTGCCAGGTAGGTGCTGGATGTTTTCCGTGTGTGTTCTGGCAGCATTAATAATTTAAGGGGGCGGGAGGAGGGGGGTGAATATTGATGAATTGATTAACTCTTTGCTGGGTTTTTTTTCTAATGGAACAAGACTATATGCAGTATTGCTCTGATGTGATGTCTAGACAAGCGCAGTACAGGCTGTTTGCCCAGTTTCAGGTTGCATTTCGCAACAGCAGTGTGACAAACGTTGCTTTTTGGGGTACAAATTGGCGCTTGGGCACAGCAGCCAGAGACTGCTCTCGCTGTGCTCAGACTTTGTGTAAACATCCTGTGGCTACGCGCTGTAGAAGTGATGGAGAGTAGTTGCTTGTTTAAGTTACTAGAGGTGAGAAGGTGCTGACTCATCCCAGCCCTTGGTATAGATACTCTACTTGCTGATTGTAGTGGTGCTCTGTCTAGACTGTATGAAAAAGGTTAAGGTGAGCTACAATCTGTGAGCTGACCTCTATTGACTTTCTTTACCTAGACATACCCTAAATGCCTATGATGTATTCTTCAACACTGCTGCTAAATATCAGACAAAAGGTGGGGATACTGATTGTTTTCTATCCTGGCTCCTTGAAAAGAACACTTGTATATAGGGACTCTGGGGGTTCTCTTGGCGGGCTGTAACAAACCCAGAGCCCAGGAAGTGGTGACTTGTGGTGACAGGTGTCACTTTGGCCTCCTGTACTTCCCCTCTCCCTGCTCCATTGCCTGTTTCCATGCCTCCCCTGCAACATCTCTGGGTTTTTTCCTCTTCTTTCAGCACCAGTTTGGCAATGAGATGGATATCATTCCCCTTGTTTCTCTGTCCATTTTGGCTCCCTTACTGCTCCCTCCCTCCACTTCTCCCTTGTTATGAAATCAGTTGTCTTCTCAAATTGGGTAGGAGAGTAAGCTGAGAGAATGGAAGTCTAGAACTGTTGTCCATCTGTTTCAACAGAAGTTCTAGAACGTGCATGAACAAAAGAAGCTGCCAATTCTGTAAATGCAGCTGAGCTTTAAATCTCCTTCAAAATTTTTCTCTAATAGAGAAGAGGAGGAGAGATGTCACTGGCCAGAACAGATCTGGAGGTGAGGGGAGAGGGAGGGAGTAAGTTTATCATTTCTTTCTGTTGACATAGCAAACACAAGGCCAATATTTAGAAACAAAACAAAAAACCGTGGTAATTTCTCATTGGTTTCATAGTTCTAAACATCTTGCCCTAAATGCTTACACACTAATGGTGTTTAAGATGGACGCTAGTTGTCACTGCTCTTAGAGGATATACTTTGAACTACTTGTAGTTTCCTCTTCTTCGTTCCTTTCATTTGTCTAGACACAAAACGGGGATGATATTAGAAATGTTTCCTTATTGGCTGCCCGTGGGTGGAGGAAGAGACCTGCTGCTTGTTTTTGGACTTGTGCATGTTGTGACTTTACTTCATTCCAGCATCTTTAATGTGATGACACTCTTCATGTCCCAGTTTGGCCAAGTCAGGTACAATATGCAGTGAAACTTGCATTATGAACCAACAGCTCCAAATGGCAACCTCCATCTAAGCAACCACATTGAACCACCCTGCAATATCCAGTGAATAATACATCATTGTCATCCTCATTCTTAAAAAGAGCCACTTGTACTAGATAACTCGTTTTGCTGCTGCCTGAAGTAGTCATTGAGAGTGGTGTCACAGTGGTATATTCCATTTAGAAGCTGTGTATCAATTGCAAAATCTGTTCTACAACCACACACAAAAAAATTCCTTAAATTTGCTGTGTGTGAATAAAAGAGAGACTTGTCAATTTATTATCCTTCTCTTCTTCCTAGGTCTGGATTTTCTTTCGTTAATCCCAGTTGATTCGCAGGTAAGTGTCTGAACCGCTGCGGCATTAATTTCCAAGTCTGATTTTTGTGTCATTCTGCTCCAATAATTATCAGGGTGCTGTTGTCACCCAAACCATGTTTGCAGTCCACTTGCTTGGACCTAATCTCAGACCAGGAAAATCTGTTTCCCCAGCGAGAGCTGGTAATATGGATGCACTGAGGAGGATTCAGTTTAGCCTTACTATGATAAATCCAGGCCTGGAAACTTGCTCCTTACTGGTGGTTTGCCTTTCTAAAGCAAGTACATGCTCAGCACTAACTTTAATACACCCAGGGTGGTGAGGGCCTGGCACAGAGAAGCTGTGGCTTCCCATCCCTGGAAGTGTCCAAGGCCAGCTTGGACAGGGCTTGGAGCAACCTGGGATAGTGGGAGGTGTCCCTGCCCATGCAAGGGTGGTTGGAATAAGATGATCTTTAAGGTCCCCTCCAACCCAAACCATTCTGGGATTCTTTGAAAAGCAGAAAGGGGAGTATAATGGGGAAGGGCTTGTGTCTGCCATCCCTGCTTGCTTACTCTGTTTGCACAGCTCTGGTTCTTGCCGTGCACACCTCCACAGTGTTCCACTGGAAACTTGTCTGGTGCTTGTTGTAGGGAAGATGTACCTTCAGAGAATACATTTCCCTCGTGCAAGTTAGTCTCTTCACTCTTCATTGTTTGTTTCAAGCAGTACTGTCCTCCTATGTTTTTGGATAGTCTCACCTCAACCTTAACAAGCAGCACGCCTGGCAGCATCATCACCTCAACCAGCCAGCAGGAGAGCAGCACGCTCGTTAGCTCCTCGGGCAGGGCCGAGGCCGGGGTGATAACCAGCAGCAGCGGCGGCAGCGCTCCTGACATCATCTCCCTGGACTGACACTCGGGGCAGCACCACGGGACTCCCGCAGGCATTGCACAGAGCCGCAGCTCCTCCCTCTGGAGCTCCGGCGTCATCACCCCGGAGGTCATCCTGGTATTTATTTCGAAAGGATTTCCCTTCTGGAAAGTGGGGTTTAATTTGTTGATGCCAGGAAAAAAAAAAAAAAAAAAAAAATGAAGCGATAGGTTGGTTGGTTTATTCCCCCTCCCCACCTCCCCCGCCCCGCTCACTAAGTAGCTGGTGTAGGAAGGGCCCTTGGAGAACATGTGTTTTTGCTTTTGGTTCGTTCTGGGAACACTGCCTTTTTGTTGCTAGGTGGATTCCATAAATGTTTTCTAATTTTGTTGTAAGAAACAGCAATAATGTAAAAACGAATAAGGTTGGTTGTTTTGGGTTGTTTTTTTTTAATAAATAGAGGAACTTAATCATTCTAGAACAACAACCAGGACAAAGGTGCAGAAGTGTATGAGTTAGTGAATTCTTAATATTTTCACTGGGGCCTGTAATAAACTTCATTAAGACAATGAAGCTTTGAAATAGCCATGATGTGTTGTTTGTCTTGTTCCCCACCTCCCCCTTACCTGGGGATATATAGGAAACCTCTGTAAATGGGATTGTTTGGGGGGGTTTTTTCCCAATTTCATGTTTTTCTCAAATGCAACAAGATCCTAGGCTGTGACTTCTTCCTCTTTTATGTTCTTTGGGCTGGGAAGGGGACAGACTATCTATGCAAACCCTGCATCACACAGTCTCTATGTTGCCATGTCAGAATCAGGACACATCCCCACCACCAAAAACTCCAGCTATAACAGTTGAGAGTACAGTTGCTTTCTGTGCCAGCTGTAAGGAGACAAAAATGGGAATTACCTTCTCAAGTGCAGATGTATTTGCAAGGATTTCTTGCTCATGGTTTGTGTCACCTCAGTAACTTCTGTATCCCGCACGGGAATACTTCCCGTGGGCTGTGGGGGAGGCTTGGCTTTTTGGAAGGCAGAAGCCATAGCTGCACAGTGTCCCCACCGAATTGGAATTATGTGTTTAGGGCTCAATGATGCTTTGTCCCATGTTTCCTGGCCTCCTGATTGTTGCTTTTCTACTTTAAAGGGAACAATTTCCTCTTGTTTTACTCCTCTGAGTGTGCTGCTTTGTTCGTGTATGTGCAGTGTCTGCCATACACCTGGGGATAACCTCAGCAGTACTGTATGTGGAAGAGGTTACAGACTAGGAAAAACAAGTCATTTCCATAGAGCTGGAATAATGGTATTGTCTATGTATGCTGGCATAGCAGCTTTTCCAAGTGGTGTGTTTCTGTTGAATAAATGTATTTGAGATTATTCTTTCCCTAATGTGAAGGCTTCACTTTTTTTCATAATTTTATGTTCCTCTTTTGTCATTTCTTTAATTGGATGTCTGGTGCTTTTTGCTCTCCATAGCTGTTACAGTATTGAACAAAGTACATGGATGAGAAATATTGAAGCAGGATGTTTTGTATCTCTTGTCTGCCCTGTACTCCCACCTTTAATGCTGCATTACTGTTCCTTATTGCCTTTTTTTGTATGATATTTCACAGCAGTCTTGAGTTCACATGTTGGTCTTAATAGTGCACCTAGTCTTTTTTCTCTTTTTCTGTTTAATTTTTTGTACCTGTTAAGGATCAGTTTTTAGCATGATTTATTTCCTATAAAACCATGCTTCTCAGGAAGCTTTTTCCTGATGGCCTGCAGCAGATCAGTGCTTTCTGCATCACCATTGCACAGTGACTTGACCTGTAAGTAGAGTGTGGAGAGAGGCTCCAGAATAAAGCATTTAAAACTGGTCTTTGTTGTTGAAGGTGTTTTTTTTTTTTGCTCTTCTCAAGACACCAGAGAATTTGTTGGGATGGGTGGAGAGGGTGGATGGAGGGGGCTGCAACTGAATTAAGGCCTGCACCTCTCAAGCCCTGCTAAGCAGCAGGACTGTGTTGTAGCTAGGTGAGGTTTTGATTTATTTTTCCTTCAGCAAATTCCAAAATGCGTTCTTGTCTATCCAAGAACTTCTCAGAGAAGGAAAATCTTGGAGGAAAAGTTAGATGGCTTCTTACTGCTTTGTTGCCACTGTGGAAGTTTCTGGTTACTGCTTTGAGCGAACTATGTCAAATGATACTTTCAAGCCAACTGCAGAAGGAAATAAAGATAAGATAATTAAAGGTGCAGGTAACAGCATGCAATGAAAGCCTTCCTGCACCAACTGCCCTTTTTTTTTTTTTTTCTCCTCACCCATCCCTTTGCTATGACTTCTTCTGCAGTTCCTGGAAGTTAGCTAGCTGCTAAAATCATAGTGACAGAAAGGCTCCACCTTCCTGAAGCTCTCAGCTTGAGCTGGCTTCTGATTTTCATGCTCCAGGAAGGTCTGCACCTATTGAGCAGCAGGAATTCGGATGTTTCCTGGATGAAGAAAAAAGTGTGTCCAGCAGGGCCAGGGCAGTGCCCGTCCCTGTGCTGGCCCTGCTGAGGCACCTCCAGTGCTGGGGCAGTTCTGGGCCCTCAGACAGGAGAGACACTGAGGGGCTGGAGCGTGTGCAGGGAAGGGAACGGAGCTGGGGAAGGGGCTGGAGCAGCAGGAGCGGCTGAGGGAGCTGGGGGGGCTCATCCTGGAGAAAAGGAGGCTCAGGGGGGACCTTCTGGCTCTGCAACTCCCTGACTGGTAGGTGGACCAGGGAACAGTCCTAGTTCTGGCCAGGAGAGGGTTAATTTTTGACTGGAGCCAGGACCTGGAGGTTATTCTGTACCACCTCAATTCCTTACTACAAGTGTGGGAAAGGGATTCTGTCCCAGTCAGAGTAGTGGGTTGGGTTCCCCTTGGGGCATTTTGCATGCGAATCTCTTTTGTACCCTTTTGTTATCGGCATTGTTCTTATTACTGTTGGTTTTCTTATCTCATTGCTGTTTCCAGTAAATCCTTATCTCAACCTGTGATCTTTTTTGCCTCCAATTCTCCTCTCCAGCCACCCACAGGGGACTAAACTAGGACATGGGACAAGAGGAAAGGGCCTCAAGTTGTGCCAGGGGAGATTTAAATTGGATATTAGGGAAAAATTCTTCACAGAAGGTGTTGTCAGGTACTGGCAGGGGCGGCCCAGGGAGGTTGTGGATCCCCATCCCTGGAGGTGTCCAAGGAACGACTGGACATGGCACTCAGAGCTCTGGGCTGGGGGACAAGGTGGGGGTCAGGCAGAGGTTGGACTCGATGTCCTTGGAGGTCTTTTCCAACCTGAATGACTCTGTGATTTCAACATTGGTGGGAATTTTCTGTATCTGCTTTAAATCTGGGTGGGGGGTGATCGAAAGTTTACCTGGAACTTTCCAGCGTTTTGCCATCAGTCTCCAAGAGCAGGGAGGATCCCAGCTGGGAAATCAAAGAACCAGTCTTCTGGCTGAGAGGACAAAACCTCAAAAGATTCAGCAGGAATTCCTGCAAGAGCAACAGGGGAGGGAGATGGTTCCTAGGTTAAAAACAATTGTGGATTAGGCAAACTATGAAGAACACCATTACTCGTAGGTGACTGAATTTTTTTTTAAATGTGGATTTTTGACACAGGTAGAGGTGGTCACGTGCAAGGTACACGCAACAGCAACCACATAAAGCAAATTGGGATGTAATTTTTATTTCTTTTATTTAGTAGGTAATCGTGCCATCACTACACTGTTATCATTGTGTGTGTAATCAATGTGACACTGAAAACTTTCTGATTTTATGAGGAAAGAGTATCAGGACAAAACTGGGCAGTGCAATGCACACCATGAAACAGAAATGATTATAACTTACCTAGGAAGTTATCCGCAGGTGGAACACCCTCCTGCAAGCCTTTACTTTTATGTATTTCGGCCACAATTTGCCAAGGATGAGGATTTTCATCACAGGGATCTCCAGGCAAAATCTGCCAGTGATCAAAGGCACACTGGAAAAAGCTGCCTGCCAGTGCTGGATCCCAAGTTGGCAGTAAAAAACCTAGTGGGAAGGAAAAAATTAAAACTAAAAAGGGATGAGCTGGCTACGGTGAAAAAATAAAACTGGCTAATTGTGAGTATATGCATAGACAAAATGCTAAACCCCTCTTCCTAACTGTAGTTAGGAAACTACTATTTTGCAGGTTATTCTTTTAAGCAGGTTAAAGGGAGCAGAGAGATCTTGTGTGACCAAGTAAATTGCCAGCAAAAAGGCAAACAAAATTCAATTTAGATGGACAGAAAAGTATAGGGGGGAAAAAAATACGTTTCATGTGTCTCAGGAACTGACCTGATACAACTTGAGCTCTGCACTGCTTACCATAACTCAAAGAAGTGTTAGTTTAGGGTTCAGAAGTGAAGTGAGAAGTACTTGTCAGGTAGTTCTTGTACTTAATAAGTGCTTGTACCTGTTAGGACAGGAACAGGAAACAAAACGTTATGTCCAGTGAAAGCCTGTCCCTTTATTGTGTGGTTCCTTTGTTACCAAAGCTGTTACTGCACAGAAGGTTCCAGAAGGGGAAAAGAGGTGACCAAAGCCCTGAACTGGCTTCCACACAAAAAAACCACACTTGAGCAGCTCAGATCCTTCAGCTTGGAAAAGGCAGCAGCGCAGTAGGAAGGACACACAAGGCTAAAAATTAAACAACACTTAAAAAAAACCCCAAACCAACAAATACTCAAAACCAGCCACACAAACACACCCATAAATTATTCTCCTAAGATGTTAAATCGCTGGTTTATACTTTAAAAGTTAAGCATCTCTCATTTCATCACTGATTATTTAAGCAGTTACCACAGCCATGTGCTTCGGCAAAGAAGCACCCTCCGAAATAAACCACATTTCTTATAGTTTTACCATGTGAGGAGTTCCAAATGTGCCCAGTGAAGCCAGTAAACTCTATGTCCTGCTGTCACAGGATACTCTTGAAGTGTGTTTTTAAACGGGGAGGAGGGAAAGGGGTCACATACACAAACCCCAGGGCCCTGTACCACACTGAAAAGTTTCAGGGGCAGCATAAGAAGGATTACATTATAAATTTCAAGGTAGCCTTAAGATTGGCAGGAGGGTGTAATGCCATAGAGCTACTCAGGCTGGCTACTGAATTTTCTACTCTGCTGCTGCTGGTGACCAATTCTTTCTTCCAAACTTGTTGCAGAGGAAAACCTTTACTTAAAATGATGGAAACCCAGCCTGGTTTCCCAGACAGGGAAAAGTCGGAATGTGCAAAAGCTGCCACATTTTTCTGGCACCCTCTGCTGTCACCAAAGCCTAGGGGAGCTGTCTGCCAGGAAAAAAGGGAGTAAACTATCTGTTCTGCACTGGAGATGCACAGGGATAACACGCTGACAAGCACTCTGATAAAAACTGTGCCCAAAAAAACCCTCACACGGCATTAGAAATGTTACCACTAAAGCTGCAAAACTCCCCTGCTTTGTCTCAGTGGGTCTCACAAAGTCATCAGCATGAAAAAGTTCTCCATTTTGCCTCTTTGTCCTTACTTGCACAAACCTTTCTCAGCCCTGATGGCCAAGTTAATTTCTTTTAAGCAACTGATCTGGTAGATTTCCTGCCTGTTACCCAGCACTGTAGCCTGGATTTTATTTTTAAAGCAGGTTTTAAAATATTTCAATTGCTTTTAGGACAGTTAAGACAAACTGGTATGTGAATAGATGCACTTAGTGATAAATAAATATTTTTAGGATCGAACATATTTTCCAGGCTTTTCATGGAAGAATTTAATGTACTAGGAAAATCCACTTATTCAAAGGACAGAGGTTAATGTTTAAACAGTTCAAAAAGAGCTTGTTAAAAATAAAAAAAAAAAATCTTTGTTGCTCTTTGTGGTTTTCTAGGATATCCAGTGTTTGTTATCCTGAATGTTTACAGTGATGGAAAGAAAGGAGGGAAGAAAAAAACCCACCCAAATCACAACTTTTCCAATGGTGCTGGTAATTCACAAAGAGTAACGTAATGGTGATGTATTTTTTACAGCCTCTGGTATTCTGGGAATGTGTTTTTTACCCGAAGCAGCTTCATGATCAGGTGGCCCCCCACAGAGAAGTTCCAAATTCCTATCAGAGTGGGTTCACACACAAGACACACAAACCTTTAATGTAGTGAAATTGTTATTCCAGGTAACAGACCATTCAGATTTGCTGTATTCCACTTCTGTCCCACCTTTGTCACGTTGTTCTTACTTCTTGTTTCCGGTCTCTTACAGAAAGCATGGATCCACTTTAGAAGAAGGGTGGCTTTCCTAAGAGTTAACCTTCTAAACTAAAAGAAGTCTCCCCTTACACCCTTGCAATTAAATGAAGACAAGGTAGTGTTTTACCCTAAAGACAGGATCCAGAACTAGCTGGCAGAGTGTCCTTATGCAACTTCTTTCCCTGTGGGCTAGTGGCTGATTTGCTGAATTTTCCAGCTGCTGGATCAAAATACCTAAAGGAGATGTTTATTTTTATTCAGCCAGTTTGAACTTGAGGAATATCCATTTGTCCTGCAAATTTCCACTTTGTTATTTAAAAAAAAAAAAAAAAAAATCCCCAACAACTTCACAAAGTTTCATATTTAGCAAAGATTAAAATAGCAGAAAGTGGCCAATTTGAATACAGCTATAACTGTTAGAAGTTTGGGCAGGCAAAGGATGGCTTTTTTTATTGGTTAGGATTTTGAGGTTTTTTTTACTATAAACACTTGACTTCAACATGCATTTTTGCAGGTTGGAAAGCGCTTTGAGCAACCTGATCTACTGGAAGGTGTCCCTGCCATAGCAGAGGGCTGGAATGAGTTGATTTAAAGTCCCTTCCAAACCAGACCAGTCTATTCT